ACCAATGTCAAAATGGTCAGTATATCCAGGAGTCCGCAAGTCCAGCTTGGCAATACTTAACACCTCCACCTTCTAATATTCCCCTTTGATCTTTTATTGTGATGTTATCAGTGTCCTCAGTGACCAATAGGAAGGCTTAGGGGCATTGGTGTCTCTAGCCTTCTTGCTGGTTGAGGTGGGGAGTTAACGCAATTAGAGCAGCGGGATATGGGTAGAGGAGACAGTGCCACCAGATACGAGAGTGATGCCGCCCTCTGCAGGCTCTGCATCTCCCCATCTGGCTATTACCCACCTGGGACGTTCTGGCCAGAAAAAGGGTGGCAGGCACACTGCAAACATTGTGCAGCAGAGCGCCCAGTATACAACAAATATTTCGCTCTGCCTATCACCACCCCACATGACCCAAAGAGATGCAGCCTGAGGCACAAGCCTCAGGCTGCCTCATTATAGGTGTTTCCGAAAGCCACCTGCACTCTCCTTACGGTCTCACAACCTCGCAATATTAGTGGTACTTGAGGTGATTGCACGAATGGCGCTGTGCAAAACTCAGAGTAATCACAGTGGTTCACTGACACACAAAAAGGAAAATTAAAATATCAATATTTGGTTGATATGCTTATTTGAGAAATGTCACATAATGTCATCAGAAGCTAACGTTTCGGGACCTTGCAGGCACCCCTAATCAGAGCGACATAGTAAACATGTAGGGGTCTATTCACAAAGCTGCCGAGGGCAGCCGAGTGAAGCTCCGGCCAGCTGTCAGAAGCAGGCTGTCGGGCGGCCAATGGCCAGCTTCGGCTTTACTGAACCGAAGGGGTCCTGGGGCCAAAGCTAGCCGAAGGATCGGCCGAAGCTACGGCCAGATTCTTCGGCAGCTTCGTGAATAGACCCCATAGTAAACATATGAACAAGATATTGATATTGGAATTTTTCTTTGTGTGTGCCAGTGAATCACTGTGACTGCCCAATTTTAGGAATGGCCCTGCTCAGGGGATAGCTGCTCAGCCCTGCTCAGTTCAACTTTTTAATGTATTCTGAGTTTGAATTCCTCAGCATTTACATTGCCTGTCTGTAAAAGCTTTCTGTTTTGTGTGTAGGGTTCTTCATGCTATATACTTCTTTATTGAATGGAGAATAATGTGCAAAGTGGCAAAAAGTGTGCTGTAGCTTAGGTAATCAGGGTTGCACAGGATTGTAAATGAACTATTATGACCTCTGATTATCTCTGATGAATCATACATAAACTAGTCTGGCTGAACATGTTACCTTCCCCTTTGCTTCTCAAGCACGATTTGTTTTTTTTTAATTTGCCTGAGTTCACAAAATCTTGTCATAAATTTATGAAGTAAGTGTAGCCCATTTCCCTTGTGGGTAGGGATGTTGTTAGGGTTAGGGCTTCTGACATTCAATACAGGAAGCCCATTTAATATGTCGGTGTAACTAGCAGTGCCCTGCGCTGTTTCACACTACCTCCTTCATAATCTAAAACCTGAAAATTAAAAAAAAAAAAATTTAGTTAGCTGGGCCTTCCTAATTTTGGGAAATGTAAACAGATTATTGTCATTATAGTCAACACTTTTGGTTGGTTATATAGGCAATTCTGAACAGTTACCAGCAAATTATCTGTCCATTGAAAGTCTACTTCTATCGACCAATATACACAGCTGGCACTGGACCTTTAAGTCTTGACATTTAATTAATTCCCAGCTATATGACCTAGAGATTCAAAAGAGGAAAATGGCAACTGATGAAAACCAGTCTTAGCAACATTTGAAAACTTTTCCAAATCTGTTGAAACAAAAACAAAAATATATATATAAAATGTTCCTGTTCTCCTATTTGCTAACGCTAAATTGCTGAAATGAGAATTATAAAATATAAACACACATAGCTTATTACTAATTCCTGTACTCACTGACTTCCCTAAAACAGTATGTGCTAATATATTTCACTTCTGTCATTGATAAGGCTAGCTGTGATAAAACCTAATGTTCTTCCTTATTAACGCCGGCCAGGTGGAATGAGTGCTCTGCGAGTTCTGTATAGTGCTCAATAATGGAATTATGTTGCCTTCACTGTCTTGCAGGAATGAACAGGAAAGCGAGTCATTCTTCTTCTAGGAGGGGTTAAATTTAAAAAGTCCATATCTGTGTCTGTGTTTCCATTTGGTGTGTGTAAATGCAGCCCCCTTTTGTTTTATTCATTAGTTTCCTATGGAATCATCCTGCCAGTCCTTCTCCTGTCCTGCTGAAGCAGATCCGTGTTGGCGTAGCCAGTTTGTATAGCTGGGCTTCCTCCGTGGTTAGTGTAACTGACACACCCCTCCAAGTGCTGTTATATTGATTGACAGTGGCTCCCAGCAGGCCAAACTGCAGTTGCTCATAGTTGCTCACAGATGGCAAAACGTACCCCCTCTGTTTGTGATTTAATCAACAGCACACCCTCTGTTATGGGGAAAAGAAAGTAAATGGAGGGTGTGCAGTCATGTGGCCACCAGATAGCCTAAAACATAACATATAAATTATTATTTATTTTTTTTGCAATTAAATCTATAAAATACTATTTGCTGTGTTGTATGGAAATTCTCTTCTTGTGTTTTGTGTAATCTGAAATTAAAAGCGATTGAGCTTCATGGGAAGGGGATGGGGCTGATATGACTATAGCACAGTTTTAAAATGTTCTCGCATTTAAATGTTCTCGCATTTAAGGTCCCCCATAGTAATGTAATGCAGAAACTATAGCATCCATTAAATGTCATATAATGTGCCAGATTGAGCCTCCTCTAGTCAGAAACACACCCTTTCATATACAGTATACTGTATGCACCAGCTGAGTGAGTTGGTTGTATACTGTATGGACTAGCATATCCTTATTGTGAGAAGAACTAGAGCATGTCTAAAACAGCAATGCTTCATCCAAAGCCTAAACTATTATCAGGTCCTCAGAGGGGGAATGGGAACTGGGAGCCTGGGAGGTTCACAGAACCAACTGGCCCTGTCTGGTTTAACTGATCATGTCATTCTTTTCTACGGGCTAAAGAAACTGTACCACACTAGTGTGTTGCTGCCTTCTAGTGATTGGTGATAAGGGAGTCTCCTCCGCCAAACCTCCTCCTACAGCACTGATTTCCTTTGCAGCTTTCTGCATTCAGTTCCTTAACATCTCAAAACAAAACAATCATAGGTCTGAACAAGAGGCAGATATCTATATAACATCCATCCGCTGTGGCTGCTCAGATTGGGAGCTAAATTGAGGAGTGCTAAGGACCACCAGCCCAACATATAATATTTATATAGGCCCAGCGGGAAATGCTTTCTTGCTCCCTAGGCCAGTCCTCCAGGCCTGTGGCAATATAATTAAAGTGAATCGAGACTAAAGTTAAGCCAACTGAAGTAACACAATTAGGCTAATTCAGGAACTTAGAAGCTCCTGTTATATGTTTAGTTATCTTTAGTGTTGGGCTCAATGTTCGAGGCGAACGTGAATTCGACTCGAACATCGCTAGTTCGTATTTTCGGCAGTCTGTTCGACCACTGAACGCCCCACAAGGCAATGCGCCTTGTTAAGCCCTAATTGGCTAAACGCTTGCACCTGACCACAGGTCAGCTGCAAGACTTTGCCCAATCATGGCTCACCTGTCAGATTACGTAAAACTACACAGTTGGGCGGAGCTAGCGGTCACCACTAGCTCAGCCCAATTGTTTATGTTTTGCCGTCATCTGTCAAAATGCCATTATGCGGCTTGTGTTCATCACGACGGCGGTCGGCGTTTTAAAAAAATGATATTTTCTATTTATTTTTTATTGTTTTATTTTTTATTTTGTCGAGTCATCGTTGTCATGGACAACACTGGACGTCATGATTGACCCTGGATTACGTTGGTGGATCCATTTTTTGGGGTGTTTTTTTTTTTTAAATAAAATATATTTTTTTCCAAATAAAGGATTTTTTGAAAAAGTCTGGACTTTTTATTTACAATTTTATTTAACACTTTAGTGAATGGGTAGGGGTAGTGAGTCAAGTACCCCGACTCAGTCACACGGGGGGGAGGCAGCATCTGAGTGCCCCTTTATTAAAGAGGTACCCTGATGTGAATAAGCCCCCTGCCCGCGCCCCCACATCCAACGCCCCAGGGCTTGTGGGGAAGAGGCCCTTGTCCCCATCTGCACTGGGACAAGGTGCTTTTCCAGGGGCGACCCTGGAAAAGCACCTTCCCAGTGCCGAGGGCATGTGGCCCTGCTCGGATCATGGGTCTGGTATGGAATTTTAGGGGGAACCCCCAAGTTTCCCCCCCATTTTTGGTGGGTGGGTTCCTCCTTAAAATTCCTACCAGACCTTAAGAGCCTGGTATTACTTTATTTTTAATTTTTTTACATGGGGTCCCTTCTAAATAGTCCTACCGGACAAAACTTTAGCACTGTAGTCAAGATTACTATTTGTATGATTGAATGCCCTGGTTTTAGGGGTTGCCAAGTGCTCTAAAAGATTCCACCTAAGGTACCATTAGCTGCTGTTAGTTTAGATGTAACTTCTGTATGAATACTTTAGAATTCATGTTGACATGCAAGCTTTAAATGACTACGCTTTGTATATTGGTTTCTTTAGCGGCGTTAGATGCCTAGCATGCAATAAAGACCCCTACCAATCACCTTCAATGGCAATGGACAGTAGTCTGTATTCTGCTATGTACACACATTCACAAAAATACTATCAGTAAACAGAAAAATAAAGATAGAACATAAACAGATTACAATTGAATCCCTTGCTTACCAAGACATTACTAAAAGCCACAGTCTCTAGCTCTGAAAAGGGCAATGAGGCTATTAAGCCATTTAATGGAGCATGCCATTTGGAAGTCCCCATGTTTATGTATTACTACATTGCTCATTCTGACACAAAGCCACTTCTCCATTCCCAGAAGGGGTTACAACACACAGGAAAAGAGTCAGGCACTTCTCTTTCACACACAGACACAAATTCACAGACACTGGGTCGACACGGTATTCAGGAAGGAGATTATATTTACATGGAGGAATCCAGTGAAGGACCCAGGATCTTGAGATGAAAATAGGTAACAAGAAATCAATGTGTACAGGAGGTTTCTGTGAGCCATTATAGCAGATGGAAGGATACACCAATCTATAGTGGAGGCAGCAAGTATTGTCACGTGTTCTGTCAGTTTAATAACATCACTATAAAACTGCCAAGCTGGCACTAAAAATGGCTGCATCCACTGCATTGTGATGATAAGTTCTTAACAGAAAACGAGAATTGTTTCATGTCTAGTTAATGCAGGGCTTAATGTCTATACTAAAACTAAGACAGGACATTTGGGGGTGTATATATATATATACACATATACACTGAGTGGCCAGATTATTATGACCACCTGACGTTTGTAGGCAAGTTAGCTATAATTAGCTATAATTTCGCGCTGAAGTTGCTAGAGGGCCAGACCATTATACATAGGGAAGCAGGTTGTTTACACCGACAGTAGAAGTGATTTTTTTCTGAAGATACGGGTAAACAACGCGATTTAACAGCCTTTGAATGGGATGATTGTTGGCGCTCGGAGCCATGGAGCGAGTATCAGCAAAACAGCAGAATTCATTAAATGTTCAAAAGCAGCTGTTGTTAAAGTGTTTAAAGACTGGACTGTCTGCAACAGTGCAGTGTCAGATTCCTCGCATCACCATTCAACATCTCGTGGAGTCAATGAAGTCATCTCGTGGAGTCATCTCGTGGCCCAACGAAGTACTGATGGGGTGGTCATAATAATCTGGCCACTCAGTGTATATATAAATAATAATGTTTTTCACACAAGATTCACCCAGGATTTATTATTTTTCCTATTGAATTAATGTACAAAAATGAATGAATGAGTTAAAGATTTCTAAATAGACCCATTAGGGACAGACTTTTAATTCATACGTTGTGATTATGGAGAAAGTTGCTGTTATGTTTAATAGCCCATATACCTTTGTGGGACATTAGTGGGGAGGTTTCCGTGCATGAGTTCCCTGCTCTACCACCTCAGCAAAAAATCGAATAGGAAAAGTGAGATTGCATATAAAAGCATAGGTAAGTGGACAGAGCAGGAAACCAAACTTCAGAGATTTCAATAACAAGATAATGTGTGATTTTGCTGGCAGCATTTATCTAAAACTGAATTATTGGTTTTGCTGGTATAGTCTCTGTGATATATTACTACAACAAGTCTAAGCCTTTTTCATATTGGGGATTACTTGGCAGCTTTGGAAGCTCAAGGGCAATCTTTACTACAGTGAAGATTGTGCTAACTTAAAAATGATGTAATGTTTAGTCTCAAACATAATAAAGGGTCTGTTGAACTATATTTTAAGAACAACAGATGATTATGAACCCAAACAAACAGGTCACACTACCAAGGATGTCACTCACAAATATCTTTATTCAAAAAGAAGATCAGGAGTACACGTTATAGTCAACACCAAGGCACCACCCCTGTAATTCATTTCACCTGAAAGGGCTTAAAACAACACTAAACTCAAGAGTTAAATCTTAAAAATGCATTCAAGTATCTTAACTATTAACAAAAATGTTACTTATTTGTGTATCACTCGGCTGTAGACCCTCAAATCAGCTCTGAATTCATCCTGACACTACTTTCTTCTGGCGGGTGGCTACGTTTGTTCCCCATGGTCCCTGTGTATGTTGTAAAGTAGAGCCACCGCTCCAAGCTCCACGATGATCGCAAGTACGATCTGCCTGTCCAAGATGGGCAGATCGTACAAGCTTTTAATTAGCTTACAACCATCGCAAGACAGAAGGGGGACCTCTAGAAATGGTAGGCAATATGTGCTTTCAATATGTTTTAGGAAACTTCCAGATTTTTAAATCTCAGCTGCTATAATATATGCTTAAGATCTTGAGATCAAATATGTTTTACAGCAGTTAGAGTCTAATAAGTGAGGTGCTTTTATTGTTAAAATAATTATCATCCAATATATTGAAAAACACATGTATAATTGACTTTAATTTAGGATTAGGAAACTTTCAAACAGTATTTTCCCCCACCTTTCCCCCCTCCCACTTTCTTATCTAATCCCCCCTCCCCCTCCATATTGATGTGTTTTGTAACATAAATCTATTGCTTCCGGATACATGGAAAGATTTCTGAAAATATCCAAATAATACACTGCTCAAAAAAATTTAAGGAACACTTTTTAATCAGAGTATAGCATCAAGTCAATTAAACTCCTGGGATATTGATCAGGTCAGTTAAGTAGCAGAGGGAGTTGTTAATCAGTTTCAGCTGCTTTGGTGTTAATAAAATTAACAACAGGTGCACTAGATGGGCAACAATGAGACGACCTCCAAAACAGTAATGGTTTTACAGGTGGAGTCCACTGAAATTTTTTCCTTACTCATCTTTTCTGACTGTTTTTCACTAGTTTTGCATTTGGCTAGAGTCAGTGTCACTACTGGTAGCATGAGGCGATACCTGGACCCTATAGAGGATGCACAGGCATGCCAACTCCTCCAGGATGGCACATAAATACGTGCCATTGCCAGAAGGTTTGCTGTGTCTCCTGGCACAGTCTCAAGAGCATGGATGACACACAAGGACAGAGGCAGTTACTCTGAGAGCTGGACAGGGCCATAGAAGGTCCATAACACATCAGCAGGACCGGTATCTGCTCCTTTGTGCAAGGAGGAACAGGATGAGCACTGCCATAGCCCTACAAAATGACCTCCAGCATGCCACTGGTGTGAATGTCTCGGACCAAACAATCAGAAACAGACTTCATGAGGGTGGCCTGAGGGTCCTCTAGTGGGCCCTGTGCTCACTGCCCGGCACCGCGAAGGTCGATTGGCATTTGCCATTGAACACACGAATTGGCAGGTCCACCACTGGCAGGTCCACATGTGACAGACGTGAAAGGGTCTGGAGAAGCCATGGAGAACGTTATGCTGCCTGTAACATCGTTCAGCATGACCGGTTTTGTGGTGGGTCAGTGATGGTCTGGGGAGGCATACCCATGGAGGGAGGCACAGACCTCTACAGGCTAGACAATGGCACCCTGACTGCCATTAGGTATCAGGATAAAATCCTTGGACCCATTGTCAGACCCTATGCTGGTGCAGTGAGTGCTGGGTTCCTCCTTGTGCACGACAATGCCCAGCCTCATGTGGCGAGAGTATGCAGCCAGTTCCTTGAGAATGAAGGAATTGATACCATTGAATGGCCCCACGCTTGCCTGACCTGAATCCAATAGAACACCTCTGGGACATTATGTCTCGGTCCATCCGACGCCACCAGGTTCCACCTCAGTCTGTTCAGGAGCTCAGTGATGCCCTGGTCCAGATCTGGGAGGAGATACCCCAGGACACCATCCGTTGTCTCATTAGGAGCATGCCCCGACGTTGTCAGGCATCCATACAAGCACGTGGGGGCCTTACAAACTAATGAGTACCATTTTGAGTTGCTGCAATGAAATTTCAGCACAATGGACTAGCCTGCTGAATCATTTGTTCACTTTGATTTTTGGGGTGTCTTTGAATTCAGCCCTCTGTAGGTTGATCATTTTTCATTTCCATCAAACGATGTGGCATCCTTTCGTTCCTAACACATTACCCAGTCCAGTATACTGTAGATATCCAGCATGACATTTTCCCCCATTGAGATCTGATGTGTTTTCAAAGTGTTCCTTTAATGTTTTTGTGTTGTATAGTAAATTATAATTAAATTAGCAAAAAGAGTAAAATTACATTGGCATCAACTTTTGACAAAACACTTATCAGTTGATGAATTACATAAATATGGTGCCATATATTAAGAGGGACAAAATCATCAAGGTCAGTCAAAGGTGCTGTTAAGGTGCCAAAATTTGGAACAACCTACATTGTACTTCACGCTAACAGAAATGGGCAAATTCCTAATCGCTTCCACCTTATGTGTTAGCGGTTTTATTAGGCCTCGCCTGCTTCTTGCATTGAGTTAAAGACAGCCTGTATACTAATATGACTCTCTCACTTAGTGCTAAAGACCACTACATCATATAGGTAGGCTGCTGCAAAGTCTAATCACAGCCTGCATACAGTCTCTCTCCCTATTACACACCACTACCACATACTTATCCCAGAAAAGACTTAAAGTAGTATTACACTCCAAAATGAATTCAGATCAAACAAATATTATTAAAAACTCTAAACTCTAGAGAAATCCTGGAGGCGGGCATGGGAGGAGGGGACGGTTAAATTGGATAGAAAATTGGCTAGAAAAGTATGTTTACATTTTTGGCCAATTACTTGCAGTCAACAGCTTTCTCCAACTCTCTTAGTTCTGCTTCCCTGAACTTCCTGTTCTGTACAAGATCACAAGTGACAGAGCAGTCTCCAGAAGATCTCCATTTCCTAGCTTGAAGAATGGAGGAGGAAGGAGTGGGGAGTAGGAAGGAGGAGAGTGGCTTGCTTTGCTGTGTCTGTGTGTTTGTGGAGACACACATAGCGTGCTAGCATACATAAAGGAAGTCACCTTAAAACAGGATAACAGGGCCAGTGCCCAAGGGGACCAGTTGATGTTGCAGAAAACTAAAACTTTTAAACATCAAGGAGTAGCATCCATTGTTTGTGATCAGCATTTGAAATACCTAACAACCATTTTGACTTTAATATCACTTTAAATATGAACTCAAGACATATATAAAAAACACAAATTAAATTGGATCTGTAATCATTATTACATAATAACATTTATTTATTTAAATGCCGGCTGTGTATAGTAAGTACCTGAATTGCTGGAGTGTGAGAGTAAGAAGTAGCACAAAGAGTAAGACATTCATGTGCTTACAAGAAATATGCTAATAGGAGGAGAGGGCAGAGTGACAGTAAGATGAGCTCATCTATCTGCTGCTTGTCTTTCACATTCCAGTCAGGGGGCATAACTAGAAATCACAGGGCCCTATAGCAAAATTTGGTATGGTGCCCTGTGATTTCTAGTTACACCCCTTGCAGAGCCCACCTGAGATCCCAAACAGCCAACCTGAGAGTGACCCTGCAGAGCTCACTATAGACTCTTTGTGGTGGGCTGCGCAGGGTCTCAGGTGGGCTGGTCGCACCCCTGCAAAACCTCTTACCTGTCAGTCAGCCTCGATCCTCTGTCAGCCTCCTCCACCGCCGGGACCCGCCTCCTCCTCCCCTGTGGTCGCTGGCGGCCCCGTCTCCTCCTCAGTCACCAGGCCCCACCTCTTCCTCCACTGCCGACGCCAGGCCCTGCCTCTCCCTCCACTGCCAACACCGAGGCCAGCATCCTCCTCCACAGCTGCTGGCTGTCACTGACTCAGCAGCGACTGTGAGTAGGAACGCGCCACTGCACAGATCACTAAGACAAATTCTGCTTTAAATTATACTACAGGTGAGGAAATAGGTGTGGCATGTGCTAAGCCCCCTGCATACTGCTACACAGATTTACAGATACTACCAACTAATCGCATAAAATACCACAGTTTAGGTGGCAGGCAAACCCCACCCACAACGCTGTCCAGGGCCCAGTCCAGCTGTTTCTCTCTCTCTCTCTCTCTCTCCAGTATACTGTATGTGTGTGTGTATTATATTGCTCAGTTTCTACAGATCATCCCCACTGTATATGATAATTTAATACGTGTGCATGACATGTATAATATTGTTCTATTATTTATATATTTCAGGAAGTAAAGAAAATGAGGACACCACACAGTCTTTACAGATCTTGTATGCATATATTCACCCTGCTGTACATACAGGGAACACAAGGTGTGTATATGTTTTCAAATTCTTTTTAAACCTTTCTCCAGAGAACCTGTTAAAGAAGAACTTTACAAGACACTCTTTATATTTATAACAGCCGCCTGGGTTTGGTTAACCATCAGTTTGACCCAAACCCAAGTTGTTCATGGTTTAAGAAAATTATAAACTGATGTAGTTGTTCACATCCATAGCAACTAATTACCAACAATGCACTTCCTGGCCTCTGAAATGTTGTCAGGGGGCTTAGAAGGGCCAATCAGGGGGGGGGGGTTTGTATGTGACAGCCCCCTCCCTAAAAGTCAGGGTTCTCAGTGTCCTTTGTTAAGTGTAAGTTGAAAGACACATTGGGGTTGATTTACTAACCTTATAAATATGCCACGAACAAGTATACACCTCTGTAGTGTGTTCCCTCCCAGCATGATGGCTTCAATCCCAGGGGGAAGGGGGATGGGGTGCTGATGGTGACGATCGGCCGTCAGATGCTGGATTCCTGTGCTTTTTTATTCTTTTTTCATATTGGTTTTTCAGTCTCGGTTAGGTTTAAAAAAGGGGGGTCATGGTGTATTGTTTAGAAAAACTGCTTAAATACTCTGCACTGAGCCAATACAATATGTAGCTGGCTTTTTTCACTGAAATAAATACACTTTTTTTTAATAGAAGCTGTCTGGTGTCTGTTCTGTTCAAAAAGCAGCCCATTGATAGTGGTTAAAGTAGAATTTAACTCTCATTTAGTTTGTATATATCTACTGCTAGCAAGCAGTAGACATATGCAAAAACATAAAAAAATGTAAAAGTTACCAAAAAGGCTTTTACTTACCTCTGTCTCCGCCACTCGCTCCCATCTGAAAATCTGGAGCTTCCCGATCGGCCGAGCAGGATGATGGGGCGGGTGCATGCGTAGTAGAGATCTTCAGCGTGGAGAAGAGGAGAGACACAGTGAGAGTCAATGCACGCAGCCAGCAGCATGCACGCAGACAGACAGACACTGTAGGTCACAGAAAAACAACATTCAGCACTGGATTAGAGACCCACACCAGCACTGGAGGGATTGCTGAATACAATTGGAAGGTGAAGTGAATAAAAAGATGGTCGTATCAAGAGGCATCATTTAAGCTAAGTCCTTAAAGCAGCATGGCAGGGGGAGGAAAAGAATTGTGACTTTAATGTCACTTGAAATAATGTGCATATATTAAATATGATATTTGGCAGATTTTATTCAGCGACATAAGTACACTCTAATATTTATCTTTTTATTAAAAGCTGGCTAGTGTCTCTCCTGTTCAAAATGTGGCCTAGTAAAAGTGATTACAAGATAAAAAAGACCTTTTCCTGTTCTGAAGGTACATGCGCTTTACTGTCAGGATCAGTTGCTGAAGGGGGCATAGACATTTGACACAGACACATAGACACAGAGGTGATGGCAGCAAAATGGCTTGAAATTATTTGTTCCTCTATAGTGAGGAAAGGAAAAAAATGTTTGCACTGTGCAAATTAAATGGCTAGATCACCCAAAACTAATATTACAGTTTTTGGTAGATGCTGGAGACATAGACTTCCTTGCAGTTACTTTTAATGGTGAAATATCTGCACTTAAGTTCTCACCTTGTATACCTGATGTGGGGTTCCCACTTAGTCTGCTGGATTTCTTATCTATTTTATATTATAGAAAATATAACAGGAGATGAAACAATGCAATATGTACAGGAACACCCAAAGCTGGCAGATGGACTGAAAATTAAAAAATATGGCAAATCCCATTGTAAATTCATGACATATAAGAATCCACGTCACCATGATCCACCTACATCTAAAATAATATTTTTCGTTGGATTGACTCTTTAAAGCTCCCTTTTAAATCATAATCTTGCTACAGTTTTGAATTGGCGTGCATTAAATGGCGGTGCATTAAATTCAATGGCACCGCGGTGCGATCGCCTGCACCGGAACGCATGGCAAATCAGAAAAAATAGTGCATGCAAATGGAGTTCCCTGACTGGCCACCCCCCCACTACAGCGTCTTCCCCATCCCTTTGTCTTGATTATACAGCAATGCAGAATACCACCAACTATGCAGGACTACAAGTCCCAGCAATGCATTATAATGTAAATAAAAAACAGTTGGTGGTATTCTGCATTGCTGTATAAGCGGGGCTGAGTGAAGACGGTCCGTCCTCCTCTCCCAGTCCCAGCTGAAGAATGTGCTGCCTGGCGGTGCCTGCTGTGTCGGTAGCGGCCCCGCCAGGCAGACAAGTGACAGACAGAGGTACCTCTCTATCCCCGCACAGCTGCTCGTACATGCAGAGCGGCAGGGGATCGAGCAGCGCTATCTGGAGGGGGGGACAGCATGAGGAAGCTTGCGGGCCCTCTGCTTCTTGCCAACAGGCGGAACGCCAGGGCCCGGCCGCAATTGCGACCGCTGCGACCCTGGTAGTTCCGCCAGTGGTTGAAGGAGGCAGGAAATACAAACGCTTCAAACCTTTATTAGAGTATATTCTAAGCTTTCCTTTTTAAAAGATCCTGCAATGTATCTTTGCTGTATCAGTGGCTACTGATTATTATAATGGTATCCAATAAAAGTGTGCAGTGAGAAATGGTAATGAAATTCTTAGCTGCAATACAGCCATCCAAGGGTTTGTGTGCTATAGCAGCCAAGATTTTAACAGTTACTTATTACTGTCAGTTGTGAATGATAGATGACGTGTATCACTCATGAAAATTAAAGAGCTGACATACATTCTCAGGATATTAAAGTAATTGCATGCTGTATTGCAAAGGATGCTGCAATACGATAATGATCAAATTAGGAGATGATTTTATCTGTATGTATGTATTGTAGAATATCTACGGCTGGCATACTGTGGAAGCAGCTAAGAAGCTTGCTTTTTCAGTGTCTAAAAATATGATTTTTTTTGTGCTGGTCATAGCAACTTGACTATACTGTCACAATCCTGTACAGCTATGAAAATTAAAGGAAGAATGTAGCAGTGTGTTTTCAGTTATATCACCTTACCCACATCACTTCGCTCCCAAATAAGAAAACCTTTTAATTTATTTTACAAAGCTTGTTCTGAATACCTTATGCGACACAGGGGCCTATAAATCTTTCACTTGGTGTCCAGGTGAAGGTGATAGATGTCAAACAGGATAAGAAGGGACACAGACAACATTTAAAAATAACAAAGATTCTAACAATTCTCCATTCTGCTCAGAGCTACTACGTGAAGTGATGCGGGCAAGGTAATATGACTGATTAGAGGGTTGCATAGTCATTTTCTTGCAGTCTTTTGGCCAATAGAGCGAAAGAGGTGGGGAATGGAAGAAGAATTAGGAGGAGAAATTGCTACTGGAGACAGAATCCTCCAGTGGCAAAACAAAACTGTGACTTAGGTATTATGCTTAATTTTCCTCAAAATTGAAAAATAAAAAAGACAATGGAAATGTAGGGGTTATTTTGACAATTTGATGAGCTCTCTCAGAAACAAAATGAGGGTTTGTACACATTGAGGGTCTGTTGATGAAACATTTTGGTTCCAAAATGACCCACTCCTCTAGCATTAATAAGACTTTGGGGGGAATTCATAAAGAGTGTCGTAGATACTATTTAGACATCTTTCTCTTGGTGGTGCAACAAATGTCATAGCGTGCAACAGATTTATATGCACGTCAGAATGATGTTTTTGAGTCTGTTGCAACTCTAAACATAACTGTTGCATGTAGCAGACTGGTGGACCTTTACAAGTGGAGTATATATTATATGTGGAACACCTAATTTAAATGCCAGCAGACTGAAAGTGATCAAGTTTCTTGGCAGATGTTCTTCCTTTGATAATAAAGGAGAGCTCCAGCTGTTTTGTGCAGCAGCTTTTTGTGGGCCTTCTAGAGAGTGTCACTGAGCCAGTCCCACCCCATCAAAAGGCCCTGGGGCATGGGACAGGAGGGCTGAAGTGCTTTATGATATTTTAGCTGGTCCACCCCTATGTCAGTTTTCTAAATGCAGTGATATTTTTATTTTACTACATGCAATCCATAGATTATTGTGCAGCGGGAAATTGCGATTTAATAGAAACTAAACTAAATAGATGTATGGGCTCATATTGGAGTAAGGACGTGCTCCCAGTGGCAAGCACCCGGTTCATTCCTTTCCTGAACCATGGAAGAGCCATGCATCTTTTGTTTGTTCTCCTTGTAAACTTAATAGATATCTGATATATGGCTGCCTCAAATTTGGTTATGTGTCCTATTATTCCTCTGTACCTCACAAGACAGGGGTGCGTGGTATGTACGTAACAAGTATTTTCCAATATATTTGAATATATTCTTGTTATTAATGCAGCATTACCAGGTCAAGAGTTATTAATTATGTGTGGATTTTGGAAGCTGGGGTGTGCGAACAGCGCGCTTTCAGGTCATCTGACTTAGGCTACCAATGTGGATTGTCCCTGAATGGCTTTATGATTTTACTTATGACCTGTGCTAGAAGGTTATGGCATGCCACTTGATGAAGCTATGTGTGTTCTGGCATGCCATATCACGCTGAGCATTATTTAAGAGGTTTAAAAGTTATTATTTAAGTTTCTAGACTCTCTGGTAAATGTTTTTTCAACTAAAATGTTGTTTATTGTTTTAAGATGTCTGTAGGCTGGGACTATGTGCTAGTGGGGGTGTATGGAATGTGCCAATTCTCTACTGATCCTACAGAGAAAGGCTCCATTCACATATAGCCTTTGCGATAGCAACAAACTCTTTACGATCAACTCCATAACAAAGACCAGGGCCGTCTTTAACGCAGGGCAGCTGCCCAGGGCCCAGTCATTGTTGTGGGGCCCAAAGGGCAGCTGCCAAAGGTGGCTTTTGCACCTGCATAAGGGATAGGGAGTCTGCCCCGTGAGGGGACTACAGCCTGAATCAGGGCAGCATGAACAGGGGGTGTCTGATGGGGAGGCCCTGAGTGTCTGTACTGGCTGCTGCATGTGTGTATTAGGGACCCCTCTCAAGAGAGAGGGGTCACTACATGCTGCTTGTCTGTATGTGATGGGGGTCACTACATGATTTCCATGTACATATGATGGGGGACAATAAACCTTAGTAAGGCTGCATAGACAGTCGTCTGTGGGCGCCGGGGGGGGATGGGAGAGAGGGGGTGAATAATGCACCTTCACCTGTGTACACAATAATCCTTGCACAGGCCCCGCCCTTGAGTCCGCAAAAGATGCACCTGCGCCACTCTTCTGTTTACTGTGCGATCGGTATTGCATAGTGTTGCTCCGCTCCTGCGTATGCATGGGCGAAATTGCATGGCGGGGGCGGTAAGGGGTCGGGATAGGTAGGAACGGGAGGCCCAAGAAAATGTTTGCCCAGGGTCCAATCAGTATTAAAGACTGCCCTGACAAAGACAAGAGGCCACCATCTAAAATTGGTGGAGAAAACATTTCTCAAGGGGCGAAGGGTTTTTTTCTCAGTTAGAGCGTTCAGGGTCTGGAACTTGCTGCCACATACAGTGATTTCAGCCAAGAGTGTGGAATCGTTCAACAAGCTTTTGGACAATTTCCTTAGGGAGCGTAATATAAAGGGGTACAGGTACTCTTAAGAAGGAGATCACACAAGGACCTATACATACGCACACATCAGCAGAACCATATACACGCACGCAATAGGTTGGACTTGATGGACTTATGTCTTTATTCAACCTCAAATACTACTATGTACTATGTTTCCTGCATGGTTTTCCGTGCAGAAGACCATGCAGCACAGCACGCAAACGCTAAAATCTTTCATCTGCATGGATTCCACTCGTATGTGGCTATTACTTTAGGCACGAACGCACGGAATCCGTCATAAAATTGCGCTTGGACTATTTTGCGGGCCACGAGTTTTAGTCCGCCGCAAAAGTCTGAACAATGCACAATAAAGTGCATTGTTTTTTTATGTTTAGAGCGGCTCTGCACATATTCGTACAGCTAAATATGCACGGACAACCACTCCTGTGTGAATGGAGCCTAGAATCTAATTTGTGTTGCAGACTGGTGAATTGTAACAGTTTTAGTTATATAATATTATTTATTAATTTACATGTTTAATTCATTACTGTAAAACCTCTGAAAGGCAATTCCTGCATGCCACTTTTCTTAGATCTGACATGGCAGTAAACCTTATTGAATCTGTGACAGCAATACCGACACACAATACAATTGTTGCTGCTTTGAACTATTTAAATTTAGCACACATGTCAGTATTTCCAATTAAAGTGTTGCACAACCTTCATGAATTTATTGCATGGCTTTAGATTGCATCCACACTGCCAATAATGTGTTGGAAATGCCTTATTGAATCAACCCATTCCTTACCAACCCTTTACCTTTCTGATTAAATTCATCAGATATTAAAGCAAACCCTTCACAAAAAGCCGTTGACTGAGTCCAGGTGAGTGTAGTCTGAGAGGCAGAGCGATAATCAGGAGCAGAGTTATGTACCTACTGGAGAGTCCAATAATGGGTAAATGAAGGGCCCCATGGCAGCAGTTTTGGGAGGCCCTGTGAATTGTGAATTATGGCCCTTTGCTATAGAATATACAGTACCATTGCTCTATAACAGTAAATTAACATATGTATGATAACTTTGTTTTTTTCAGGCTTGGAAATTCTAGACTCTCTTAGGTGTGTCAATAATTTCAAAACACACTGGACCTGTCACTGGAATGAAATGGAGAAAGTACGAGAAATACTTCCCATGAGCCTCTACCGCTGGAATAAGCTGAATAGGTATTTCTGTATAATAAACTGTCAAATTCACAGTTGGCATAAAGTTATGGGAGCAATTGAATACACATGTAAATAAAGAAAAGAAAAGCCCATCTAACTGTAATACTATGGTTTTAGGCAGGTTTCAATTTTTTAAATACTTCACTAGATCCACAGGATCCTTCCTGCAAGCATATTCACAGTGATAGACCAATTGTGGTGTTCAAAGCATTGCTGTTCCAATTGGTTTAGCGTGCTGACCTTCCCTATCCCATGTGGATTAAAGAAGGCTAATATGAAGACATGTTATAGTACTGCTACTAGCAGCAATTAAATCACCCTTAATTGTTTTTGCTAAATACACTAGACATGTAAGACGCAGAAAAATTCAGTTTGGATATTTCCTTATTTCGGGATTCGGATCCGAAATTCAATTTGGTTCGGGTTTTGGATTCAGATAAAATCCGAATTTTCGTTAGTTTCGGGTGAGTTTACGAATATTCGTTGTGAATACCACAGAAAACCATATACAGATATTAATACTAAAGCTGAAGCTCCTAGACCCAATGGCATTTGGGAGTCCGAATTTCTGAATTTCCAAATACCATTTGGGAGCTCCAGAAAGCAATATGGGTCTGGGAGCCATATTAAAGCTGAGGCTTCCAGACCCGAATGGTATTTAGGAGCTCTTGAATGCTATTCGGAAATTTGGACTGCATTCTGGTCTTGGAGCATCAATTTTAGTATTATGTATATATAAGTAGTATTCTATAACACGAACAAATATTCGTAATGGCAACATTGTGATCCATATATACATAAAACTAAACCTGTGGCTCCCAGACCCGAATGGCATTCGGGAGCTCCCAAATGCTAAACAAAAATTCAGATTTAGACCCATTCGGATGCATTAAACTGAAAAACACATCTGATTGGCCAGAAAAGTCACATGTCCTATTCAATTTCGTTTTTGAACTTTGATTCGGAATGAAACGAATCGTACATGTCTAGAATACATAACTGGGCTAAATGTTGATGTTCAACATTTAGAACCATGCTGTGCTGAAAAAAAGTACTGCATGCAGAACTATTTTGCAGCGCACACCACTGTGATCTGTGCGGATTCTAAACAAGGCGAATTTCCTTGTGTTCGCTTTGGTGTAAACGGGCTTTAAGGAGGAGCAAAACTCAAAAACTGTAGATTGATGTTTTAAATGGAACATCCTTTCTAGAAAAAAATAGCAGTGTAGTTTTTTGTATGTGGGTATGCCTAGGTGCTCTTGTGCCTCATGTCTGTAGTGTGACTCTAAGCCACTGCTGCCTCTGACTGCTAATGTTAGGAGATATGGAGTGATATTTGGTGATGTCTTTATTGTGCTGCTTCCTAGACATGTGCGATTCGTTTCGTTCCGAATCGAAATTCGGACGAATTTTCGTAAATTCGGATTCCCGTGTTGGTGTCTCTGACATGCATAAGCAAATCCTACCACTGCTAAGATGGCCACCTCCACAAAGAGACACATTGCAGAACGTGGCATGGGGAAAAGATCATTTGCAGGAAGACCACAGGCAATACTGCTGACTAGTCCTTTGCCCTCTTTCTGCTTTTTTTTGGCACCACTTTCAGAGTTTTAAGGTCTAGTCCTCACCTACCCAGACCCAATTTAGCTATATTTATAGAAATTGTTCCTATTTTTGCTAAATTCCACCTCAACCAAAGCAATGACATTTATGAGGTAGTGTCGAGCTACGTTGAGACAAATATACACGCAAACAACTGATTAAAAAATACAACTGAAATGATTGTATAGTATTTTTGTAACTGTTACTCTATTTAATGTGTTAAGCACTAAAAAATAAAAGTTATAAAATATTTTTTAACCAGTTGACATCCGCGGTGTTAAACCCCCTTCCCATCCAGGCCATTTTTCAGTATTCAGCGCTGCGGTACTTTGACTGACATTACTGTCAGGAAAATAGGAAATATTGCATATTGACCTACAGGCAGGTGGAGATCTATGCTCCTTTTCTGATGCGTAAATCGGAGCCAAAATGCTTATGTTCAGATAAAACGCAAACAACCACACACACGCAGTAAAATAAGTCTGAGGAATGACTCACAAACCTCTCTGCAGTATTTAAATTAAATGCAGAAAGTCTAAAAGCAAACAGTTTTCTACTGCTCCCTCATTTTAAATAAACCCATAATGCTCTGTGACACCAGTATCATGGGTGCACACTGTACTTATTGATCACACAAGTACAGTAGATTGTCTTCTAACAACTGTGGCTTTCTTCTAAACTTATCAACAGTTCTAGATATCCCTGCAGTACTGCTCCCTCTAGCAACCAGGAAGATGGGAAACTTCATATGAGCTGCCGCTTTGATGACAGGTTCAGCTCTTCAGTAGCTGCCAGCTTCGCCTTTGTAACAGAAAAGGATGTTCATGTGGAGACTTGCCTTATACCAACATCTAAAGGTAAGAGTCTATAAATCAAACAATTATCTTAAAGTGTAACCCCACCTAACAGGACAGGAAATTAAAATAAATATCTCCAATAAGGACACACACAGCAAAAACCTGATAAAGGTTCTGGTCCTGCTTCGCTCTCTCGAAAAGTAGAAAAAAAAAGTTTTGGCAGACATTTAGTTTAATCATAGTTTATATGAAAAAGGAAATCAAGAAGTATTTCTTATCACAGTTATGGTTTATAAAGAGTGATGCAACATACAGCCTTAGATAGAATTAAGATGAAATGTAGTCATTTCTTTTTGCTCTTTTTTCAAATCTATTCTTTCAGTTCAGATGTTTCCTCCAGAAGACCTTGAACTCCAAATGTCCGACAATGGCAAAATGAGTCTATCCTGGAGGATGCCAAAACTTGTACACTCTTCTGCATCTCTTTTGTACCAAGTCATCTACTGTAGGAAGGATTGGGAAACGTGGGAGGTACAGTACAACAAATAGTATTTTGTCTACATCTTCAAAGCATTGTGAAAAACAATATTGTGCCGAGCTAATAATCATACATATCTAATAAATTGAAACATATATAAATGAGTCACATATATGAGCCTTCAAACAAATGAGGCATAAGAAATATCTACACACATACAAAAAAGCAATATAGGCAAAAAAAGATCAAAGCATTAGTGAGTATTGACCACCTCACTCACTCTACCTTTGGAAGATGCTTTTTTAAAATTATTATTATTATTCTACAGGATATATATAGCGCCAACAGTTTGCGCAGCGCTTTACAATATAAGGAAGACATTACAATCACAATACAATTCAACACAAGATGGCAAGGAGGGCCATGCCCGTGAGGGCTTACAAACTAATAGGGAGGGGCAAGTGATACATGAGGAGGTCGCTGTGTGTGGATGTTTTATACACTGTATGAATGCACAGAATGCAGGAATATTCACTATAGTGTAACAGCAATAACAACAATAAAAATGGCACAGGAGCCTGGTGCTGAAGAATTAAGCACAAGGCTTTTAGCACTAAAAACAAGCTAAAATCACAAAATTCCACTACATTTAATAATTATCCCTAACACTAAAGCCCTCCACTTACCCTGCAACCAGGGCAGCCATCAGAAATTTTGGGGCCCCTTACACGGCTTTAGGCCGGGCCCCCCCCCCCCCTGGACGCAGGGCTTAGTGACGCACTGGACGCAGGGCTTATTGACGTGCTGGACACAGGACCCAACTGAGAGTGACCCTGCAGAGCCCACCATAGATGCTGCACAGCCCATCTGAGACTGTCTATGGTGGGCTCTGAAGGGGTCTCAGGTGGGCTGGTCAGGGCTGCATCCCTGCCCTCCCTCCTTTCCTTCCTTCCTTCCTAGCTCCTCTTGCCTGCACACATGGCCTCGTCTGCCACCGGACCAGCCAGAAGTGACGTCCCATCACTAACGTGGCGTCACTTCCGGCCAGTCCGACATCAGACGAGCAGCGTCGCTGATGGGGCCCTAGCTTGTCTCAAAGCCGCTGCAGCGGAAATGCTGGGGCCCTGCGCTGCTAGGGCCAGGCCTCCGCCTCCTCGCCCTTCACCGTCGGCCGATAGTCATGTAAGGGACCCGGGCGGGCCCACCAGGCTGCCCGGGCCCCTTACATGAGTATTGACCGTACCCCCCTGATGGCTGCCCTGCCTGCAACACTTTGCCTTCTACAATCATACACTTAATACTTAAAGTATACCTTTGCATTAAGCAATACTAGTTGAGAATACCTCATGCTGGTATGTCTTCCAAGCTCTCTTTAGTTGCATTTGCTATCTAAATCTGTAGCCGCTATCTGGATCTGTTTTCCCCTCAGCAGAGCCTTGGTGGACTGGACCCCACTGGGTGGAAGATGCAAGGAAAGCCCTTTAATGTGCTTAGGACAATGGACCCTGCATGGGGCACTCACCTTGGCACCTGTGTAGCGTGTGGAGTCACTGCAGGGTGCTATACAAGTCAAGTGCTGTGGTCCATCTATGGTGGAGCCCTGTCCCTGAAGACCCCCTCCAGGGGGTATGCCCACCAGTAGGTAAAAACCCCGTTCCTAAAGAGAACAGAGGTTTATCAAACACTGTTATCTCTACGCTCTTGAAAGCTATGAAATCAACCTTCTGCAAGGTCTACCATCGCACCTAAGAGGCCTATTTTGCTTGGTTCAAGGCAAAGGAGTTTTATCCCAGGCAATACTCCATGAGACACATCTTATCTTTCCTCCAGCCTGGCCTAGACTAGCATTTTGCCTTAAGCATTATCAAGGATCAACTTGAAAGGTTGCTTGCTACTGTCTCAAGTGAAGGCATTTGTGCTCCAAACATATTGGCCGAAAATGGTACTTTGGGCAGAATGCCGAAAGTACCATTTTGCAGCTGAAATTGCAGTGCATCCATAATTTCTCTCCTCCTTGCTGGGCACTGTTCTCTGTCCTCTCTGACACAGAGCAGCGTACAGCGGGGAGGAGAGAAACCTTCAGGAGGCCGAGCGGGGCGGGGAGGAGAGTGCTGTGAGCTGTCACAGGAGGCTGAGCTCTTCTCCCGCACCACCCCTCTCGGCCTGCTGTGACAGGCAGAGACTCAGGATGGAGAGCAGGGAAGAGACAGCAGTCAGCTGTCACAAGAGGCTGAGTCAGAAATGCAGGGGAGGAGTCAGCTGTCAGCTGTGTCACAGGAGGCTGAGCTCTCCTCCCCGCACAGCCCATTTTGCCTCCTGTGACAGCCGAAGGAGTCAGGATGGAGAGCAGTTATAGGCACTCAACAATAAGCTGATTGTTGAGTGTTTGTAAACAATTGAGGACATAGTATGTTTACTGTGTCCCTTAATTATAAATGAACAGGAAGTGCTCTACATCAATTCCTGTTCATTCATGATTGGGGACATAGTAACTCTTACTATATCCACAATTTATGAATGAACAGGAACACTTAGTATAGAGGCTTCCTGTCCATTCATAACAGGGCTGCAGAAAAAGAGATTGAGGACTCTTTTTCTATTTCAAAAGGGAAATTTGGGGGTTTTGGGGAAATACCAGACCCCTTTTTTTGGTTTTCGGTTTCAGCCTGACAAATTTTTTATTTTCGGTCACTCAATTTCAGTGCACCTCTAATTCACACTGCTTACGTTAAAAAATAATAATGATAATTTTGTAATAATGATAACAGAAATGTATTCATTTGTGCCTAGATTTTCACATTAACATAAATACTTTTCTTTGTCTTCAGGATGCTGTTTCTTTAAATGTCTTGGGAAAGATGGAAGTCCATTTCAGTCCTCAGTCATTTGTACCTGGGAGCACTTACCTCTTTAGAGTACGTTCTGTGAGACATGAAGACCCAGGATACCGGAGTGCGTGGAGCAAAGAACTGACCTGGGCTACGCCTTCAGGTATTTTGAAACTGAACGAAAATACTGTATATGCAAAATTTGAAGAAGAGAAGTTTCTTTTGGCTTTGTATTGGAAAGACATAGGAATCATTACCTCCCACAATCCCTTAAAATTATAAAAATAGTACAATTTTCTCCAGCCAGTACCTCTGCTCGTAAAGTAAGGATATTTTGGTTGTAAGAATTCAGGTAAACTTGGAAACAGTGTGAGAAGCAGACCACCTCTGTCATAGCACACAAGGGGCTCACAGAGGAGATAATTATGTATATGTGTTTGTGTGTGTGTGGGGGGGGGGTCCTATACAATAACCATTAACCAGTTAAAGAGGCACTGTGACCTTGCTCATTCAGGATGAAGTGACATGGTCTATTAATAGCCCATGCCCTCAGGTATAATCATCGATCCCTGCTCCAATTCTGGGTTTAACCAATCATTTTGGGCATATATATTCCTAATGGTCCTCATAACTGGGGGTGTAGCAGGGATGTGTCCATTGGCTAAATGCATTGTGCTGGAAGCTGTCCCTCTTTCTCATCTCAGAAAGTTGTGAGGTATGCGATTGCCCGCTGAGGTCCAAGCACCATCACACGCAAAGGCAGAGAGGGAGCGTGGACCTGTAAGTATACCTCGCTGGAGGGGGTTGGCTATCAGGTGTTTCCAAAAGTTCCCAAGCATATACATTACATAAAACATATACATTGTTGATCATATCTTCAGAATTCACGTTGTGACAGATCTGAAGGTGCTGAAGATCTATGCAGTATACTCAAAGGGGCGGGCTTAGAAAAAACAGCAAAGGTTTCATAATATGGATGTGTTTGGATGGACATAGACTGAATTTGAATAGGTAGTGGCAAGGCTTTTTAAACAAAAAAAGAACTCAATGAAGCAGTGTTTAACTGTGAACCCTTGTTTAAAAATCCCACTACAATTTTGGAGCAATAACAAACAACCGTCATTGTGTAAAGACACTCCCTTTTTTGTTTTCCCTGGCAGTCATTGGTTCCCTGAAAAAAATAAAAAAGATATACTCAACTGAACCGTGCAGCTATTAGACCGGTCCCTGGAACCTGTTTCCTCTGCTCCAGTGATGGTATGTCCCTCGGTGTCCTTGTGTCCTAGATGTGATGACTCACAGGACCTTAAACCACCAGAGCAGAGAGAGAGAGAGAGAGATTGGAGGGACTGGTCTAATAGACAGCTGCCTGGGAGATTCAGGTGAGTATATCTTTTTTATTTTCATCCCTAGACGAAAACGAGCACTTAACCCAGGCAGTGCGGGGGTAGCCACGCTGCAAAGGTCAGGAATATTCTTCTTCTTCTACCCTCCTGGCATTATGCATACTGTAGAAGGCTGGAGCAGTCCAGAAGAGATATGTCAGTCAGCCCAAGAACTGCAGCAGGAACATGGATGTCAGTGTCCTTAGTACCTGGGGCTCCAGGCACGACATATGGAATACGTGCCCGGGAGTGCTAGCAGAATTTTTGGGTGTGCAAAAGCACACCCAAGCACCCATCTGGTTCCACCACTGGTAATAGCTGAAACCATTTCAGAAACATCCTGTCTTGTTTAATGTACGCCTGGCAGGAAACAGCTGGCCTGCTCAGAGAAATAAACTGTTACCCTATTGCAGATATAAATACATTTTGCTGTAAAACCACACTATAGTATGAAACATGTTCTATGTAAAATATACAGAAAAGGGAAAACAAACTACCGTAATAAGAAATCAATGAATACGATTTGTAAAAAAAAAAGCAACTCTTCATTATACGTAATTGTTTTTTCCACAGATCATGGAACCATTATTCAAAATTTAAAATGCGAATATGATGGCTCTGTAAAGATGAATTGCAGCTGGGAGGTGAAGAGAGAACTGATAAGCTCTGTGTCCTTTACTTTATACTACACTGAATCCCCCACAGATTGCAAATTTGCATCAACTGATGGGTAAGCTAAGAAATCATTAAAAGTCTCTCTATTTTTGATATCATATTCAAAATTTCAAAGCATTTCAATTTTTTTAATAAATGGGGGTGACTATATTACAGTTATTACTCTGTTAAAGAAACGCTAGTATTCTTTAATACATTTACTTTGTTTATGTCCAGTACATATTAATACTACTACTGCTATTACTACTACTACTAATAATAATATTTTTCTTTTAATCAGTCAAATACAGTTACCACTTGCAGGCAGGAGGTATTGCTCAATGCAAGGTCTATCATTTGTAAAATGTTCCTACTTTCAGGCATCTGCTGTATAAAAATATAGCTGAATGAGTCAGATGAAGCACATATCCTCTGCCTTCATCTTCTAATGAACGGGGTAACATCTTAAAGAGTGCATTAACAGTTTGGCAGAACGAATTGAATAAGTGCTGGACTTTCTACTAGAAAGCATAGCAAGCATTTCAAACACAGAGTCCTGCATGCAATAAACAAATATAAAAAAACATTGAAATAAATAATTATATTTGTAAACCATATATTTATACAAATGTAAAAATATAAAACATTCATTTATAAACATGAACACTTTTAACAAAAGTAAAATTAACCATAAACCACGCTATGCTCCTTTTAAGATATGAGTTCCACTGTAAAAATATGCCTCCTAAGGCATCCTCTAGGCTATGAATCAATGATTAAGGACTTGAAGGAATAGGTGCTGAATGGTGGAATCATATTAAGTGTCTTCAATGAGCGCTCATGTGTATTGAGCCTTTGTCTCTATACACTTTTTTATACTTGACTTTCAGAAAGGACTAACATCAGAGACATGAGCTGTGTATTGGCATTTAAAGCTTGTGTTTTCAAGTCCTTTTAGGGGTCTTCTAGGCATTAGCCCAGAGACTATAGTGCTCAGAAGGCACTAGTAAAAACAGTGGTCTAGGTTACATAGTTACATAGTATTTGAGGTTGAATAAAGACATTAGTCCATCAAGTCCAACCTATTAGGATCTCATTCTAGGAGTACCCGTACCCCTGTATATTAAGTTAACGCCACTTAGCTCCCAGGTAAGGCCTTTATTACAAGAAAGGAGTACTCATGACAAGTGCTCTTTAATTACACATAGCTTAAAGTGAATCTGTGGCCAGGCTGTAGACATTCAAGTCATATTTCTATTAAATAGTAAATTAACTTTAAAGCAAGCCCCCACAGCCCCCCCTCCCCCTAACCTCTGTAGCTGCAGGCACTTATGAGCTATTCATTCTCACCGATTACCCCTTTACCTCAGCGTTAATGTGCATTGCATTAAGGCAACCCCATTCTTTCTGAATGGGCTGCCAAAGCTCCTCAGTGCAGTCAGCTTGAAGTCTTTATCTCTCAGTAACTCAGCTCCCCCTTCCAAAGCATCTACTCTTTTTTGACATTAGAAATTAAAAGGATGCTCAGTTACTGCTGTGTGGGAGGAGCAAAGTGAGTTGAGCTACTGACATATGCAACTACTTAGACAACTTCACTGCTTCTGCTTAAATTGAGGTCAGTGGGGGCTTGTTCTATAGTTCAGTTACTGCTTGTTAAGAATGTGTGAATATACATAGCCTGGCCAACCCCAGCCCCATTACAGAGCATTGGATACTACTTTGATTATCCATTTAAGAACAGGTGTTAAGAATCATGCACACCCAAAGGATGCTGATAGTCATTGATTGCCATAACTCAATATCACCCAAAATAAACAGATAGAGATTAATTATGGTTGAGCACTTGGTGACGGGTCTCAAAGGAGAAGAAAAAAGATAAGGTAAAATGTTGTATTTGCAAGCTTGCATAATGGAGTTTATTTACTAAACAAGAAGAACATGTTTAAAGTAAATTTCTACTTGGCAATGATATTTACACTTAACTCAGTGAATGTGGTGAAAATTCACTTTGCAAAGAATGTCCAACAATGTGCTAGGAAAATTTAAAAAAATATATTTTTAGCTTTCACATGATTGGATGATAGAAGTCAGCACAGCTTCACCATATTCAGTAAACTAACAGGGATATTCACAAAAAGGTAAAGAGTTTGGAGAAGGCAGGAGAAGTGAACAATCTAGGACAACATAGCTGAACTGGAAAGTGAGCTGAATTGGAGAATTTGTTTTCCAAATCAGCTATGTTGTCCTAGATCAGGGGTGCCCATTAGGTAGATCGCGATCTACCAGTAGATCGCAAAGCAAACACTAGTAGATCGCGATCAGCTCACTGACCTGAGCTCCCTCCCGCAGTGCTAGTGCGGCTGAATGCGTCAGACGCCGCAGACGGGAAGGAGAGAGAGAAGGAGCGAGGAGAGAGAGAAGAGACAGCCAAGAGAGAGGGCCAGTTTGCACCACAAAGTCTGCGTTCCAGAGTGTTCGGCCTCTAGAACGCACAGAAACACAAGGCGGCTTGCAGCATTTTTGCATATAGACCTGAATGCAGGCACTAATGTGCCTGTGTTCTGGGTGCGTGCGATCGCTCTGCGGGCGTGGGGCGTGGCTGCCGTGCCATTGACTTCAATGCACCGCCATGCCCCTGAACGCAGGTGTTTTTTCATTGGTAGATCTCATTGAGCTCGTCATTTGAAAAGTAGATCTCCAGACGACAAATTGTGTCCACCCCTGTCCTAGATTGTTCCCTTCTCCTGCCTTCTCCAGACTCTTCACCCTTTAGTGAATAACCTTGTAAGTGAAAATTCTCTTGCAAATTGAAAATTCACTTTGAAAAGTAAACTTGCTTTACTCTTTTAGCAGATCAGCCTAAAGGTGTCTATAATATATACCAGATGAGTTTATAATTTGTAATAAGTTTGTTTATTTTTCAAATCGAGAATATTATGGGTTTTTTTTTCTTTAGAAAGAAGTCATGTCTTGGTGAAATAGATGAGAGTAAAGAAAGTGGGCCTTATGTACAGTACAGATGTTCTCTGCAAGTACCTTTATCCCAGGCGCATAATTACTTTAGTATCCAAGTCAGAATGCTGGAGGAGGTGAAAGATCTTAAAGCCCATGAGAATAGTGAGTATACTTTGACTTATATTGTGGATGATAGCTATTAAGATAGATAGTAAGATAGATAGTAGCTAATAGTAAGATAAATGTATTTGAGGATGAATAAGTACAATGGAGTTTTAGAGACCAGTAGGGATGAGGTTTAGAAAAACAAAGAGTTTTTTTTTAATTCTGCCACTCATAGGTAGTGATGGAATAAGTTATTTCAGTGTCAGGATATAGTCCCTTAGCACTGAAGGCGGACGAATTGCAAAAGTGTGCCCCTCATCCACACCAGTCCTCCTCATATATAGTCCCCACTGTGTAGATGCATTATTCCCCCCACATTTTGGACTTTCCACTTGTGGAACAGGACCACGGCCAGAACAGGCTGGTTGCAAGAATCCAAGCCTTTCGATCAAAGGCAGCAGCAGTCAGGGAGAGGAGAAAAATGTACCTCTTCCAGGTCAGCTGGCAACTATTTATGTTCATAGTACTTAGCTTTAAAAAATCCATAGATCCAGATCAGAGCCTCAGCGCTGCACACCAACAACTTGCTGAAAGCAAAAGATGTTGCTATTTTTGAACTTTAATGACTAGTAGGCTGTTTTAGTATAGACAGGCCTGGAGCAAAAGAAAGAGAGAATTGTGCAGAGGGATAGCATGACAGGGGGAGAAGGGGAGCCAGGTAGAGAAGGGTTAACTCTTAGGTAAAATAAAGGGGTAGAAGGAGGGGTTGCTTACCGGATTGGTTGAAAGTTTGCCAATGCTGGACTTCTTAAGGGCGATCCGTGTGATCCGTGCGGAGGTGGAGGAAGTTTTCCAGTGGGTTAAGTTGCAATCAGATGAGCATTTTTCCCTCCCACCCGTCCCATTGATTTTGTCTTTTTTTATTGTTTCAGGTTCTGGATCTGTTAGGTCGTCCTAGCAGTCTATTGGCGGTTTGGGGTCCTTGAAGGTGGTCTTGATGGCTGGTTTATTGGAATAATGGTTGGGGGCTCATTCTAGGTGTTGTGTCCTTTAAGTGGTGGTCAATTGGGTGGACCACTTAGTTTTGGCTGAAAGTGTATTCCATCAACAGATATTGTCCGTTGAGCTGGGGGCCTATCGTTAGTTATCTGAAGCCGTAGATGCTGGTTATGGGGTGGATTTGTTACTTTGTGTGCCTTCAAGGACCTTGTTAATTGTATAGCTGTGTTATTTTATTTAATAATATTTGGTTATTTATGCATTTATTTATGCATTTAATTTTGATTTTGAATTAAACAAAGTGCTGCTGTGGCCCCTTTTGAACTCCATACAAGGCTAGTGTGATTTCTGCAGACTTTGGTAAATACTCTAATAAGTGAAAGGCCCTAGTTCCCTATCATAAGACTATTATTATGCCTAAGGGTGACTATATCATCTACTCTTGTGGTATGTGCACAGTAATTGCCCCAAAATCTAGCCATGAATATACTTTCATATGATATATGCTATAAGTTGCTATCCCTATTGTTAAAAGAGATTGAGAAATCCAGGTACCATCAATATTGCTTCTAGCTGCATCACCTTTTTGTGTAAATCTATAATCGCTAGATTGCTAGGTAAAGTCTAATCACAGACATACTGCTATTAAAATCTACATATCAGATTATCTTTTTTCTGTTGCAGTTCAGATTGAGTCTCCCACTGATCTCCAAATAAAAAACCAATCAAGCAATGGATATACACTGATATGGAGCCCACCAGAGGTTGTCTTTCCTACTATCCAGTTAACATACCAGTTGTGTTACTGGAAGGAGGTACAATCCTACATAATATAATAAAATTGTTTTGTGTTGTGTTGTGTTTTCTCTGACAAGTGTTGTGTTTTCTCTGACATTTTAACAAGTCTTTCTCTGTATTCTACCTTTTTTTGTTGTTCCTTCTTTTCCCCATTTTCAATCACCATACTTGAGACAGTTATCTGTTTTCTAGTGATGAACGCCTACAAATTATCTTATCTATAGTCTGTATGTCACTTCAGGGAGACCCGGAATGCCCCCCTTACTCACTGGTCAATGTCTCAGGCAATCCACCTGAATATTACTTTCCAATTTCTAAACTTGAGGGCTTCACTCACTACACAGCAAAGGTGCGTGCAAAGCCTGATGAAAAGTCTCTCTATAATGGTCCATGGAGTGAATGGAGCCAGAGCAGGTCCTGGAGGACAACCAATGGTAATAACAGTGTTTGACAATATTGTCTTATTGTTTATGTATTGTTCACATTTATAAAAGACCATATTTTAATATTTATTCTTCTTGGTCCTCATATCATTTTTGTTATGTTATTTTCCCTGCTGTCAGTTTCTTCCACTGTAAGGACTTGGCTCATTTACAATTTTGTGACAAAACATTTTAAAGTCCGGTTTCAGCGCTGTGTCCATGAAGGTTGCCTAAGACTCCCTATACAAAGTTCTCCCAAACATGCTGTATGCTGGGGTTTGGAAGTGCACTGGCCATTGCAACGCTGCACAAATACTTAAGTGCATGGCACTCTATTTCCACTCCCATGAAGGATTTTACATTTGCTTAGATGTGAACAAGCCATAAAGGGCGCCAATAGCAGTTGCATGTTTAGGCACACATTAATGTACATTGAGGCATGTTGCATTTGACAACCCATCCATTTTAAATGTGCTGTCATCACATATGAAGCACAAAAAATTGCTCATGTACAGTTTTCTACAATGCAGCTCACTACATCGAATTTGCATCTGTGTGTTGAGGTGCATTATAGCACACATATGCTGTATTGTACTTTATATGTGAACTGGGGTGCCATTAAAAATCAATTGCAATGCATGACAACACTACAGGACTGCAATGCCACCAATTGCTGCATGACTCTAAAGTAACTGAAGGCCAATTCATTTTCATGAGAAAAAAGTGCCAGTAGGAATAAGGCTCAGACATACACTATATTGACAAAAGTATTGGGACACCCTTCCAAATCATTGGATTCAAGTGTTCCATGAAATTTCCTTGCTACTAAATATTCCAAGGTCAACTGTTAGTGGCATTATAACAAAGTGGAAGCAACCGGGAACAACAGCAACTCAAAGTGGTTAGGCCACGTAAAAAAGTGGTAGGCCACGTAAAATGACAGAGCGGGGTCAGCCCATGCTGAAGTGCACAGTGCGCAGAAGTAACCAACTGTCTGCAGAGTCAATAGCTAGAGACCTCCAAACTTCGTGTGGCCTTCAGATTGGCAGAACAACAGTGTGTAGAGAGCTTCATGGAATGGGTTTCCATGGCCGAGCAGCTGCATCCAAGCCTTACATCACCAAGTGCAATGCAAAGCAGTGGTGTAAAGCAGTGGATGCAGTGGTGTAAAGCACGCCGACACTGGACTCTAGAGAAATGGAGTGATGAATCACGCTTCTCTGTCTGGCAATCAGATGGTTGTGTCTGGGTTTGGCGGTGGCCAGGAGAACAGTACTTGCCTAACTGCATTGTGCCAAGTGTAATGTTTGGTGGAGGGGAGATTATGGTGTGGGTTTGTTTTTTTCAGCGGTTGGGCTTGGCCCATTAGTTCCAGTGAAGGGAACTCTTAAGGCATCAGCATACCAAGACATTTTGGACAATTCCATACTCCCAACTTTGTGGGAACAGATTGGGGATGGCCCCTTCCTGTTCCAATATGACTATGCCCCAGTGCACAAAGCAAAGTCCATAAAGACATGGATGAGTGAGTTTGGGGTCGACGAACTTGACTGGCCGGCACAGAGTCCTGACCTCAACCAGATAGAACACATTTGGGATGAATTAGAGCGGAGACTGCGAGCCCGGCCTTCTCGTCCAACATCAGTACCTGACCTCACAAATGCGCTTCTGAAAGAACGGTCAAACATCCCCATAGACACACTCCTAAACCTTGTGGACGCCTTCCCAGAAGAGTTGAAGCTGTTATAGCGGCAAAGGGCGGGCCAACTCAATATTGAACCCTACGGACTAAGACTGGCATGCCATTAAAGTTCATGTGCATATAAAGGCCGGCGTCCCAATACTTTTGGCAATATAGTGTATGTCCTGTCAAAGTCATGTGACTGACCTTTCCTCCACTCATGGAGCATATTCTACAGAAAGCACTCTGAATGACACCACTGACCTGTATTCTATGAATGAAACATACAATACAGGTGCAGTGTGCCGTAAACACTGCAGTTGCTTGTGGAGTTTGGCTCCTAAATCTTGCCTTTCATCAGTTGAGGACATGAAACAATGAAAAATGCTCATTAGTTGCCACTGCAGCATTATGCAAATTGCTTTTTGTCATACTAAATCTACCTAAAATAAGAAACCATTTTGTGTTTTTTTGCAGTTCTAACAACAAACATCATATGCATATGCGCCTTTATTATCTCCATCACTATTTCGCTGTTTGCATTTTTTGCATTCAGGTATTACAAGAGGTGAGTTTAAATGATAACAACAAGGAACAGTATAAGGGCTAAACCAAATGGATGACCTGAAATTACATTGACCACATGACCATGAACACATGAACATCGCTTGTGATTGATTAGATGATTAGCTGCTAAAGTCAGTAAAATGGTGCCCTATGGAGCAAGCTACATAATAACATATAACAGTATTAATTATTAAGAAAGCGTTCTGAACAAACTGTATTTTTTTTAGGTTAAAGCAAAGTTTCAATGATTCCCTACCCAACCCCAGCAAGAGCAAACTGCTCAGAAATCAACCACTGGTAAGTAAAGGGCCCACTTGCTGTATAGCTATAAGCTTGAATTTTGCTGTGTCTCATCCAATGTTCACAGACTCTCTTTTCCTTTCCTCTCTGAGACCTCATTTCTTATAACTCTTCTCATTTCCTATGACACTCATTATAACTATCTTTTGGGAATATGTCCTCACAGCTTTATAAGGAGACCCCTTTGGAAATCTGAATACTGTATTTGTAATATATTAAACATTATCTCCCTCTTACTAAAAATTCAGCTACCAACCCAAAACATGCATAAGGGCCACTACTCATAACATCATCAATTACAGAGATGTGTAAACGCCTTAACATCTTTTTCTCTTCTACTATGTGCACTGGATATACATTAAAACATAAACAAATGGTAAGATTTAGATTTCTCTAAGGCAGGGTTAGACAAACTTTGGCTCTCCACCTGTGGCTGGAAAAATCCCATCATGTATCTGCCTCTGGGAGTCATGTCTGTGGCTGATGCTCAATAGGATTTGTAGTTTCAGTACAGCTGGAGGGCTATGGTTTGCCTACTGCTGCTCTTAGGCTAATATAAAGTAGTTTCACAAAACATTACATAAAAAATGCTATTATTATAATTATCTGTTTGGTAGAGTGGAGAAAGGTTAGAGCCCTTGTCAGCAGAGGCGTAGCAAGGTCATGAGGCGCCCGGGGGCAAGTCTTTCATTAGTGCCTCCCCCCACGCCCCCACAAACCAAACCATAATTCAATCGTGATACACACGATCCATGCAGTCTGAAGAATGGAGGGCCACAGACTAATAGAAGGGGGGTCCGGTAACCTGCGATGTCAGCAGTTACCATGGCCCCCCAAGTGGCCAAATTCTAGGGCCCCATCACAGCTGCAATCGCTGTGACCCTGGTAGTGGTGCCACTGTATAGAGGACTACAAATCCCAGCAATACATTATACAGCAATGCAGAATACCACCAGCTATAGAGTACTACAAATCTCAGCAATACATTAAACAGCATTGCAGAACACTATAATCTATAAAGGACTGGTGTGGGTCCCGTACCCTGGTCCACGGTGCCAGGGAGCTCTGGGCTTGTTCCTGGGCACACTGGTAGCACATGGCCCACACCTGCTCTTCATTGATGGGCTGCTCCTAGGTATTCATGAAAATGTCCCCACATCGCCCTGCAAAAATTGCCCTTTTGCCACCCATCCTCCCTGGATCTGCCACTGACCTGATCTTCAATCCCAGCTATGGGGTACAGAGCTCACCTGACTTCTCATCTCAGCTATGGGGTACAGACCTCACCTGCTTCTCATCTCACAAGGTCTCTTCTCCCCCCACTTCCTATGTGTCTACTGAGCCCCCGGTTCTCCCTCTGCCACTGTGTTACCTCTCTCCTTTTCCACCACCATCTCTCTGTCAACTGACCCCCACTGGATCTTCCACTGCCACTGTACCCACCTCTCCTCTCCACTCTCCGCTGTCCACTGACTCCACCTCCACTCTGTTAACAACAAACCCCCCACCTCTCTCAACTCACTCCCAAATTGACTTATCAGGCCAGTGATTTTTAGAAACAAATCTCACCTCTCCTCCTGCGTTCGTCACGCTGCTGCACCTTCGACTCTGTAAACACAAAAACTAGGTAGCTGCGAGACCCCAGCGTGTGCTGAGGCGGCTGACTAACTTTACTGAGCCCAGGGCAGGCACTGCTTTCCCGCCAGGGTAGTTCAGTGTGGCTGGCCTGGCAGAGCAGCGGAGGGAGAGAGCAGTAGCCAGTGGCGCCCAGGGCTGGATTTTTTCTCTCTAATTTTAATTTATTTTCTTAAACTTTTTTATAATTTTTTTAATGTTTTTACTTTTTTGTATTTATCTTATTATCTTTTACGTTTTTATTTTTTAAAATAATTTTACTTTCCTAATTTTTAATCTAATTATTTTTTACTTTTTATCACCTTTTTATTTATTTTTTTACTTGTTATGCTTTACTTATTTTTCATATTTTTTTTTCATTTATTTAATCAATTTGTTTATCAATTTTTATTTTTTTTTACCTAACTTCATTGCTATTATGCAGGAGCTAACAAGCCCCTGTGTGATAGCATCTGGAGGTGGCAGGTTTTCTTGAACCTGTCACCTCCAATACATGAGTTCTAGCACAGCACTGTGATGGAACTCCTGTGACAGCTGAGGGGAAGGCTGTGAGTACAGCTCTCCCCTCACTGTACACACGGAGCAGAGCAGAGAACGTTCTCTGCTCTGCTCCCTGACAGATGATCTCTACAGCTCGACAGATGATCTCTGGTCGGCGGACGGACGCACGGCAACTGCATGTCCCGGAAGTGTAGGGGGGGTGCCCGACACCTGGGAACTTCATGTCCCGGATGATAGGAATCCCTGCCGCCCCTCTACTCCCTGTGGATATTCAGCCCTGCTGGCGACCCCTTCATACCGGTGCCCAGGGGCACGTGCCCCCCCCACTCTACGCCACTGCTTGTCAAGTACTTATTGCTGTGTCTTCCTGTCTTAATTGCACTCACCCCACTTATTTATTGTCCTAATGTAAAAACACAGAAAACGAGATTGATTCTCCCCAGTGGGGTCACAGGCAACAATAAAGGCCTATACGGTAAAGTTCAAAAAGTTTGCCACTTTATCCAAACTAAAATTCAAATAATTTAGTGTCTTTGTGGTTCTTTGATTTTGTAGCTCCGTGGATCATCTGGAGGGACTCAGATCATAACAATCCCATATCTAAATAATGTGGTGCACTCATAACACCTTTTTATTGAAACCTTGCTTTGTACTTTTAAGGGATACTGGAAACAGAGCTATTACCCATTCATACATCGAGACTTCTACGCAGAAGAAAAACCTTCAATATGTGTTACAGTCAGGTGAGAAACAATGACCTTTTTCATGTGTTTTAAATGTCAGAAAGATTTGTGTACATAGGCAATCAAACCACCCAACATTCTGAAATGAGAAAGAGGGACGCCTTCCAGCAAAATGTATTTAGGCAAAGAACACACACCACTGCCTCGTGTCCAGTTATATGGACAACTTTTTTGTTTTTCACCATTACTTTTCCTTTTATACTGGCTTTTTGAAATAGCAACCAAGATGATTCAGAGATAAGATAAATATTTTAGTGCAGAAAAACACTTTTCATAGTTAAATAGAACATTTTCTAAGATGTCTGTACATCAGAGCAAAAAGAGAAGGAAAGAGGGGCAGAGGGATTTGCTTCCAAATGAGGTACAGTTCCTCCAAATGAGGGACGGTTGGGAGGTACAGTATGGCCAATGCATTTTTTAAAACAAAATAATTTGTTTTTAGAATTGAATCTTTATTAAAGCTTAATACCATCCAAAAAAATGTTTTTATTCTTTGTGGGATGAGTTTACATTACTATCAGGTTATTTCTTTGTGTGATTCCCTTGGGGAGCTTTCTTTGTAATGAGCATACAACAAATGAGGAAGCAATTGTCACCCATACAAAGAGCAACAAAAACGTTTCAGAAGATCTAACTCTTCCCAACTCTACTAAACATGTGTTTTTCTTTTTGTAAACACATTTGAAGAAATCTCCCTAAAAGGGACACAGATAGAAGTAAAAAAAACTGACAGAGGCTGTAACCCTTCCCTGCTCTATCCAAAATAAATAAAAATCATAAATAAAAGTTTTGCCTGGGGCTGGGCTTTGGGGTCGTTCACACCATAATGGGACCTAAAATGTAAGTCAACAGAGGTCCATTTACTTGCAATTCAATTTCAACCTCCTTTGACTTCCATTCTGTTCTGTTGCATTGCATTTATTTATTTTTGTCAACCTTTATTTTAATTACCATGTCCTGAGTGGACAAGCTTCTGTGTATTTTTTTTGTACTTCCGTTCAATTGCGTTTCCTTCTGTTTTGGACACGTTCCGTTATGTTGCACTGAAAAAAGTGGTCCCATTAACACCCATTTATGTTTTGGGTTATCTTCCATTGGCATCCGCTGACATCTGTTGAAAAACAGATTGCAATGAATCAGCTGTGAATGGGGCCTTAAAGAGACCTATTGAGTACTTTCAAAAGCAGAATCCTAAAATGTGGAGCATAAAGTCACAAAACGGGGAAGCACAGTGGCGTAGTGGCTAGCGCTTCTGCCTTGCAGCACTGGGGGTCCCTGGTCCAAATCCCGGCCAGATCACTATCTGCAAGGAGTTTGCATGTTCTCCCCGTGTTTGCGTGTGTTTCCTCCGTGTACTCTGGATTCCTCCTACACACCAAAGGTTAATTGGTTAATTGGCTCCTCTCTAAGTTGGCCCTCTATGTATGCATGTGGGATAGGGACCATACATTGTAAGCTCCTTGAAGGTAGGGACTGATGTGAATGTGCAACTATGTAAAGCGCTGCGTAAAAATTGTCTATGAAATTGTATATAAATACCTGTAATAATAATATGGAAATAGTGTAGTGTTTATTTGACTTTTATTAGACTAATGCCAGTGGGATAGGAAATTTAGTAAAGCAGTGTGTATTTGTGTGTTAATGACTTGTATACACATCCTGGATCAAAAGTATTCATACACAAATTTGCTGAAACTTCCCAGGTAACAAAATATATTTCTGAAGTTGTAAATTACTATGTCTGAGTTTACAATTTTCTCCCCTTGAGAATATGAGCTGAGATTTTTATACTGAATAAATAAGTAAACCAAGTTGACAATAGATAATAATAATAATAATAATAATGATAATATAATAATGCAGTGTAGACTGTAACTTGACCAAAATTGTACGTAAGGATAATAATTAGACCATGTGAATAAAGTGGTATAGAGGAAATATTTTGTAGCGCTCACCCCCAAAGGAGCCACTGAGAAGAATGGGCCCTCCTAGCCTGCCTAGGGATTACTATAGAGTTGCTGCCCCAATAGCACTTGCCAGCCCTCCTTTGGTGACCGATAAAACTGAAGTCTACACAGAAGATGCAATGCTAAAAAGTTTTACTAAAGAACTGGGAGGGAGGCTTAGGGCACAGGACACCCAGGATGTCATAGACTCCAATATATGATAGAACAAAGTACTTTCAGCCTTCACAGATAGAGGACCTTTAAGCCCATTGAGGCAATCTTTGTCTTGAGAGCCTGGCTGGGCAGTACTTGATGCAAAAGCTTCTAGTCCATTTCAGAATAGATCCCCATGGTGCCACAGAGGATCAATTCCCAGGCTCCCCACACCTGGTGAAGTTGCTCCATGTCATCTCCAACCTCAGCTTCACTCACTAGGCCTCAGACCCAGGCCCCAACATGAGCACATGGCTTTGCCTTCTTAGGCTTCAGGCCAGACGTGTAACTAAAAATTACAGGGCCACATAGCAAAATTTTGTATGGGGCCCTGTGATTTCTAGTTACGCCCCTTGCAGAGCCCACCTGACATCTCACACAGCCCAGCTGAGAGTGACCTTGCAGAGCACACTATAGACTCTCTATGGTGAGCTCTGCAGGGTCTCAGGTGGGCTGGTCACACCTCTTACCTGTCAGCCTCCTCCACCACCGGGCCCCACCTCCTCCTCCTATACAGTCGCCGGTGAGCCTGGCCTCTTCCTCCGCCGTGCCCAGCCTCCTCCTCTGATGCCGATGCAGGGCCCCAGCCTCCTCCACCACAACTGCTGGCTGTCACTGACTCAGGTTGTCAGTGATCTGAACAGCGGCGCGTTCCTCCTCACAGCCGCCAGTGACAGCCAGCAGCCTGAGATGCCATAGCGACCCAGGCGGCCCCCACGGCATCAGGGGAACCACTTTGTTCCTCGTCCTGGCCGGGCCCCCCTGTGCCTCGGGTCCCATTGCAACCGCCTGGGTAGCTATGGTGATAGTTTCACCACTGCTTCAGGCCTACACAGATCAAAAAATCCACAGAACCCTCAAATGAGAAAGAGAACCTCATATGGTCATGATTAAGCCAAAAAAAGAAAAACTCATGTACTGAAATTTACCATAATTTGCTTTATTGCTTGGTAATTAAGCATTACTACTATCTGCCATAAGCTGCATCTGATCATTCATGATGCAAACAAGAGTGTCTCGCTGGCAATGTTGGATTACTTCTGGCAAATCAGGTCAAGGTAAGGTCTAGGGTGTTTTAGCAAAAGCTATCACGCCTGCCTATGGTTCATGCAGCCAAGCATATTACAAGCTCTTATCAATAAAAAATGTAATGCCAACTCTTGAAACTTACAAAGATATAGCCATTGAATGGTGTAAGAAAAAAAGTATAACGAAACTTATGTTGCCTGCAAATGTGCTGAATACAAATTGCTAAATGTTAAGAAAATATAGTGCCATTCACTGGAGTCTGTGTATATACTGCCAGCACTGGGTGTCTGAAAAATTGTACTGCCAGCTGCTAACAGGGGTACATACAGTATAGCAGTAGAAAACTGGTGGAGGTTCTTGCCTTCCTTGACTCTTTGGGGTGGATTTACTAACCTTATAAACACACCACGAACATGTATACACCTCTGTAGTGTGTTCCCTCCCATAGGGTTGCCACCTTTTCTTCAAGTGAAACCCGAACACTCTAGCGCCGTACGCGGCAATTTTTTTTTTTTAATATAGAGGAGAGGCAGCCAGGGGAGGGAGTGATGAGACCAGCTAGAGAGGACTACAAATCCCAGCAATACATTATACAGCAATACAAAATAATATGAAGCTACATACTCTGTGTTGTTCTGTGTTGACGCACTGATGTCTCCACGTGGCCTGGTGGGTTGTGCGGGCTCTCGTGGTGGGCTAAATGGGCTATGCTGTCTCACCAGGGATCCACAGATGGGCAGCACGATGTCAGGGAGCTGGAGGAGGAGAAGGCAATGACAGATGCGTCTGTGGGGGTCCTCGGCAAGCACGATCTTAGGCAGCCGAATCTGCCTAAAACCCGGCCCTTCCTCTGAGCTGCGGGCACCTGTAAACAGACACAGGCTGCCGGCAGCTCAGAGAAAGATCCGGGTTTAGGCAGATGCGGCTGCCCGAGATTGCACTTCCTAAAGACCTCCACAGACGCATCTGTCAGAAAATGTAAAATGCCGGTGTCGGCACTGAGTGTCTTGTGTCCGGGTGCCCACTGGCTGGACACCCGGACACAAGACTCCAAAACCAGACTGGTGGCAACCCTACCCTTAAACCGCGCCCATTTGCTCTCACTTCCTATTGTTCCTGCAGGAAGTTAGGAGAAATCTTTTGAATGGGACACGGAATGGCAAGATTTACCTCACTTTGGCATACCACCAAACCATCCTGATTTCTGCCAGATGCTGCTGTCGATTTGCCACCCGACTCTTCCTCTGAGCTGCGGGCACCTGTAAACAGACACAGGCTGCCCGCAGCTCAGAGGAAGATCCGGTTTTTAGGCAGATGCGGCAGCGGCTGCCGTGGATCGCACTTACCAAGGACCTCGCAGCCGCATCTGCGAGAAAATTTAAAGTGCCGGTGTCAGCAGAGTGTCTTGTGTACGGGTGCCCGCTGGCTGGACACCCGTACACAAGACGCCAAACCCGGACTGTCCGGTTGAAAACCGGACGGGTGGCAACCCTACCCTCCCAGCATGATCTATGGGTGGAATCTAAACACCTTTGTAGTGTGTACACACCCAGCAGGTGTGTTGTGCAAAGCCCTGCATGAATTTGCAAGGTGATCTTGTGTAAATTAGCTCTATGTTGTGTTGCTTGCGTTGATGAATGCAGGAATGTAAATGCATGAGCTAACCATTTTTGTCTAAACTGTGAAGCAGTATTATATATGCATCATGTGCATGATTTTTCCATATATGGCATTAGTGGAAATATGCTTTTAGAGACTTTTTGGTTGATAAATACGTTTTGCTGTGTAAAAAAAGGGATTCCCCTTACTTCCTGTTCTAATGACAACATTGCCTCCCCAATGATTCCCTATGGAAGCCCTGAACAGCAGTAAAAACCTGATAGCAGTTGTAACCTTTCCCCATTCTATCTAAAACTAGAATATAAAAAAATAAAAATTGTCTGAAAAAATACATTTAATTGTAACTGCCATACAGCATACAAAAGAAAAATCCCATTAACTCTACAGGTTACAAAGAAATGTCATTTGTAAATCTGTACCTTTCTTCCTTGCCACTGGTGCTGCTTAAAATAGCATTTGGTGTGGTTAATATCTGGATTTCTGTGAGTTTTAATTGGTGGGTTGATACAACATAAACAACATTACCAGAAAGAGGCATCTCCCATAGTTTAAACAAGGTCACTGATTTAACAGCTAGCTTTTTTATGCAAGATGGAGGTTTTCCAGCAATGGTATTTTAAAAGGATAGAAAATCAATAGCAACTAAATTTAATAAAGTGCATTTTGCTATGGGACTTGAAATGTTCAGAATGATTAAATAAATCAGCAGAAATGCCATTAAAGCAAACCTATTGCCTGTGCATAACAATACATTAGAAATCAACTCCAGGCAACAAGTAAAACCCATTTGGTGAACTGCTAATGGCATTGAGAAAATATCGGCACAATCCTTTCAGTTTACCTTATGTGAGCATGGTATCATTTCCCTATTGTCAGATTGAGCAGGACATTTAGAAACCTTCTGAGGAGGACAATAGCATCGAGCTAATCATGCTGGCTGAGTTGGCACATAGGTCTGTTAACATATTCTTACTATAAACTGGAGTTTTTTCCAGACAACATCCAATTAGATATCAATGTATCTTGCTGCACTCCTTACCAGATATAAATGAAAACCTGTCTGATCCAGGTGGGTGCTCGCAATGACCACGAATGGCACCGTGTAATAACATGAATTCCAAGAACGTCACCAGCACTCCAATGTAAATGTGAAGAAGGGATAGATATATTGACACATATTTGTCATAAATGCATTTCTGACAAATATGTGTCAATAAATCTATCCCTTCACATTTACATTGGAGTGCTGGTGACGTTCTTGGACTTAACACCCAATTAGAATCATGCTTTGTCAGCAGGTTTGATGCTGATTAATCACTGAGGAGCCATACCTCCATTTTTTTCCTGTGTCTGAAGGCGACCATCTTGGTTGAGGCGAGGTTTTTATGCACAAAAACTATAAGAAAGTCAGCCTGGAGGTGTGAGAACTTATAACTCAATCATATACATTTTCATACAGGAAATCTATATTGCAGCACTTGCCTTCTGCAGGAGAGGTCCTAAATGGAAGTGACATTACTGTGATTCTTGTGCATACAGCTGTACAAGTACACATACATATGTACAACTTTTAGGGCAACGGCAGGACAAACTGTTTATTGCCCAGTGTTTGTAAAGGGCTGCAGTTAGAGGCTTACCTCACATGTAATTTTTTTAGGACAGATTTTCCTTCATATTAGGTTTCATTCTTTATATTAAGTTCTAATTATATTTACTTTGTTTTTGTTATTTATCTTTCATTGACTGTTTTTATGTCTTTAATTTTCTTTGAATGTTTGCAGTCCTGTGGCACTACAGTCAACATATGAATCGGCAGAAGAATTGGTGACAGAGAACACTCCAAATCCTGATGCTAATCCGCTAGGACCTTATTCATTACCACCACCAGCAGAGGAGAAGATCATGCCTGACCAGTGCAAATCTCTGGGAACTGGAGAGAAAAGTGACACTACTACAGTGTCTACATCAGAGGTTAAAAAAGGTCTTTCCAATAAGAGCTATAATGGGCCCTATCTGATGTTCTCCGGTGGTAAGTCGATGTCAAATTTGGTGTCAAATGAAGCAAAGCATCCAGGGTATTTTAGCCTGCCTAGTTGCCAAGCTGAGATATTTAATCTCCCCAAAGAAACTACCCAGATATGTCAACCTCAGCCACCTGGGGATCAAATGGGTTATGTGATCAGTATGGAGAAACCACTTTCTGTTCAGCCAATGCAGAATCAAGACAAGAAATGTGCTCCTGATAATAAATACACTGCAATCCCTGCATCCTCTGACTTCCAAGTATTGCCAGAAGGACCCTTGATGATAATTAACCCTGATGGGTCTGGGCCACTTTTGCTTAAGCAGGTTGGAGATTACTGTTTTTTCCCAGGGCTCCGTGGAAGCCAAGAACATTTAGAAAGAAAAATGGCACCAGTCAGTGAACAAAACCAGCAAAATGCACCAGAAGACCCACCTCTACCTGCTGTACAAGCATTTAAAGTCATGCAAAGAGGGTACCTTGCTTTGCCACATACTTAGATATTACACGTTATTCTCTTAAGTTCTTTGCAAAAGATTTATACTGTAAGAATATTACCACAATACGTTTACGTTTTTCAAGGCTTATGGAAAATATTTTTGTACTCGTCTCACCATAATCCATGTATTGCTGCTGTAAACTTAATAACAGAAAGCTACTATTATGCCAATAAAATTACCCTAGCACTGAAACGTTTGTGTGTCTTAGTTACATTTCCCTTGATTTTTGTTACTTGTATAGCCAATGTCTGTCTTCCGGCATAGCATTAAGTCTACCTTGCTGCAAGGATGTTTTATCTCCCTTTGGGTAGAGGAAAGATGACTTCAAGGTTTCCATAGAGGATATACATGTCCATGTCAACATACCACTGCATAATATATGCTTGGTTGATATGGAATAGTAACGTAATCACAGATATTAAATGTCTATACTGCTGTTCAAACTGTACACTTTCAGGTGTATGCGGTGCACCGCTGGATCATTTTTTATACTTTCGCTAGTCATCCAAGTTTTATTCCAGTAATAATCAAAGAAAAGTACCTCCTTACTTTGATGGTCGTTGTCAAGAGGGCCCCTTAATTTGATAGCTAGTGGCAGAAGGGTTGCATTGCATTGGTGGTCAGGGGAAAAGTACCTCCTTAAATTGGTGGTCAATAGCAGAAGGGTAATTGCTCTTAATATCAGTGGTCAGTGGGAAGAATGACCTGAATACTGGTAGTCAATAAGGATAATTACTGTCAAGGGATACTTACCTTAGAGAAGAGAGGAGACAATCCAATGGTCCTAATCAAAAGAACAAAAGAGGGCGCAAAAAACACTGGCTAGCTAACGAAGGTATAACGGAAACTCAAGGTGGTGGCACTTACGCGTGAATCCCAGGATGCGGAGATGGGCGGCCAATATGGAGGATCGGAACACTCGTGATGTGTGTCCGACTATGGCTGGTGTGCTACTCAGAGAGGTACATCCACAGAAATATTTCCAACAGAAGGGAGTGAGCAAGAAGAGGGGACTTCGTCCGAAGTGCCGTTAGGGATATGTGCGGTGTAGAGGAGAAGCAGGGAGACCCCTGTGGTGTCGGCAATAGACAGGGCTGTTGCAGCCCCTCTTCTTGCTCACACCCTTCTGTTGGAAATTATTTCTGTGGATGTACCTCTCTGAGTAGCACACCAGCCATAGTCGAACACACATCACGAGTGTTCCGATCCTCCATATTGGCCGCCAATCTCCGGATCCTGGGATTCACGCGTAAGTGCCACCACCTTGAGTTTCCGTTATACCTTCGTTAGCTAGCCAGTGTTTTTTGCGCCCTCTTTTGTTCTTTTGATTATCTGCATTTACAGACCATAGGACCCGTCCAACTTTGTCCTCACTCCCCTCTCTCACTACCAAAACCACATCTGGTGGCCTCCAAAAAAACTCAGCATCACACACCACTCCTTGCATCACCAGATCCTCCACCGTGGCCGCCCCTCGCCCGGACCCCGGGCATTACAAGCAAGTTCCCCATTTTTGGTTCACCTTTTTTAGAATCTCACAGAGACGATCTGTCTCAACATTATTTATACATTTGGATTTGCGCTCTTATTGCTCCATTAGCAGTTGGATCGCCAACCAAAGTATTTAGAGTCTTAGTAATCCTTTTCAATTTCTGTAAAATTACCCATTCTTTAATTTAGGTAAATATTTTTTTAAATTCTATATAGAAAATAAGTTGACTGACTGCATGACTAATATCCTGCTGCATTTTTTATCTGGAGAATCATAAACCCTGGAGATGTCTGTTAGCTGTGGACAGATGAACAGCAATGTTTCTAGGTATGATAGACTTAAAAGGGGTCTCCACTAAGTAGGTAGATGGAGAATTGTAATACAGTATGTTCTTCACAGAAACCATTGTGAAAGTCTCATACTAAGAATTCCTACTGTCCATTCACTCTTATTAAGCAGGGAATGTATTGCATATGTTCTCTGTGTACAATAATTGTAGGCACAGAAGTCCTCATTTATTATTTTCTTTGCCAAGTCAAGTTCAATAAACATATCATCATGGAAATTGTAGTTCATCTATGTGCATTAAAACCAAATAACATATGAGAGTCACATACATTCCAATCAACCACTTAAGTCCACATTGAAATGAAACAACAGATATAATTAGTAGGGATGCACAGATACCTGTTTTTCGGTATCGAGTACTGATATTTTTTTCCGGTACTCACCAATACCGAATACCGATACCGGAAGTCCCGGTAAGGAAGCCATGTGGCATGTAATGACTCCCTGATTAGCCGGGAAGCCCTCTCCATGCTTCTCGTCACTAGCTGACTAGAAAGCATGGAGGCGGTTTTCTGGCCAATTAGGAAGCCGGGCGCAGTGTAATGACATGGCGCCCGGCTTCCTGATTGGCCCGGGAAGCCGGCTTCATGCTCCCTCGTCATGAGATGATGAGGCAGAATTAAGCCGGCCTCCCGGCCAATCAGGAAGCCGGGCGTCGTGTCATTACACAGCCCCCGGCTTCCTGATTGGCCAGCTTTCCGACCAACCAGGAAACTGGCAGCGAATCATTACACGCTGCCCGGCTTCCTGATTGGCCGGGAAGGTGGCTCCATGCTTGGAGGCGGCTTCCCAGCCAATCAGGAAGCCAGGCATCATGTATTGACTTGCTGCCGGGCTTCCTGATACCAGAAGCTCAAGTATTGGGCTAGGTATCGGAGGATTTGGGCGAGTACGAGTACTCGCTCAAAAACTCGGTATCAATATCGGTGCATCCCTAATAATTAGCAAAAAACATTCCTTTGGAAATCTGGACTGCTCTGCTAGAAGAGGCAAGCAAGCACTGGCTGCAAGGTGACTTATTTTAAAAGGTGGCAATGACGGTCATTTGTAAAAATTGACACATACTTATATTATATTATATACTGGTATTTCATGTTAATGCTTTGCACATGTACATACAGTATATATACATGTTCCATGTTTTATAATTGATAAATTAAAGCTGAACTACGGGCACAAAAACATTCATTTAAATATATTTCTCAATAGCCCCAAAGGATATCAATTCACTTTGTGTGCCCCAAATGCCTTAGCAAACCCAGTTATCAACTTGTAAAGGTAGTGGTGACATTATCATTGCGCTGGACATAACCATTGCAGAGAGCAGAGCTGTGGGAGGGACCCAGCAGGTCTACCTACTACAGGCTGCCTGTAGAAAATTAGAGGAGGGGGTGGATACAAGACCAGCCATCATGCTCAATGAAAGAGAGAGCAGCAGTGACTGGTCTTTATTACAGGAAGCTCCTGCACAGGCAAAGTTTCAAGCTCGATTACTGCACTTCTGGAAGATATACACAAAACACACCAAGATTCCTCTCGAATTTAGACAATATTTGCTCATCCTGGCCTTCAGTTTTAAATAGAAAAGCAATGACAGCAGGAATTCCAACTTTTTCCAGCACTGTCTGCTTTTTGTATTGCAAAGGAGTCACTGGCTTTATAGCTTCAAAACATTAAGGAATAGGTTTATCATAAAAATCCCAGAAATCATCATCTTGATCAGGTTGTATAACTGGAGGAGTCGTTGCTTTTGGCTTCTTGGCTTTAGCCTTTTGTTTCTTTGGCTTCTTGGTTGGTGGAGCTGGAGGTTGAGGATCATCCATGGGGACTGTAGTGTGGATGCGCAATGGGAAAACACAGGATGGTTTTTGTTGACTCTTCTGGATCTTGACAATGGCGTTTCTCTCCTTTAGCTTTTGTGACCAAAGAGCTTATATAATAAAATGAGACGTGAGTGACACAGAATTTAGAAGACTTCTGCCTAACAATTTAGATGACTTTACAGTGGATTTAAAGAACAGCTGTGCTTTGATCATGTGTTTCTCCTATACTCTCCTTTCCTATGCTCCACAGCTGCTCCAAATAAGCTGGTATTTTGGGGTATGGAGGGGCATGTGACTCACCCCCCACCCCCCCTTTCCTTTTATATGATCACACTGGTGCTTGATGATTGGGCCACAGAGAGAGTCCCCGGTCTTGTATAAACTCTGAGTAGTGTGGCTCAGAGCTTTCACAGAGCTCCCGTGTCTTCCTCCCATCCGCTGAATGGAACAGTGGAGGAATTAAAGTGACACTAAGCTCAGGAGGTAATTCTTAAAAATGCATTCAAGTACCTTAACTATTAACAAAAACATGCTTATTTGTGTATCACTCAGCTGTATAACCTAAAATCATCTCTGAATTCATGCTGACACTGTCTGGAGGGTGGCTACTTTTGTTCCCCATAGTCTCTGTGTGTGTTGTAAAGTAGCCACCACTTCATACTCACTCCCATGATAGACTACAATTTACTTATTTGTGTTGAGAATGTAGTCTACGGAGGGAATTCAATAAAGGCTTAGCACGACGTTTCTAGTGGTACGGACCTTTAAAAGGTTCTGCGCCAAATTCAAAAAAAGCCCCGTCTCACGTTTAGTTTACTAATTTGTATCGAGATTATAGTCTATCATGGAAGCGAACTGAGAGTGGTCGCTACTTTACAACACACACAGGGGGAACAAAAGTAGCCCCCTCCAGAAGGAAGGACATTGACAGCATAAATTCAAAGATTATTTGAGGCTCTACATCCAAGTGATACACAAATAAGCTATGTTAAGGTACTTGAATGCATTTTTAACTCCTGTTTAGCGTAACTTTAAGGGAAGGTGAGTATGAACTGCTGGAGGGGTGATTGAAGCAAACCTTTTGCTTTGCCCAGCATGGACAAAGCATAGATTTGATCTGAGATTTAAAAAAAAAAGGAATGGATTTTTATCACTAGAGCCTGTACAAGCACAACTTATGGCAGCCAAAGCAGCATTCAGCTAGGACGTTTGTTTTTGTGGTCCTTAACTAAATCGCTATTTAAACCAACAAACAGTTTGCCTATTTGAGTTTTTTTCTCGCACATCAAGCTTTTGTTGAGAGAAAATCTAATATTTTGTTAATCTATTTTTTTCTTGGGTTTTCAATAGCAAGTTATTCATCTACTTTGATAAACAGTAATTTTCACATAAGTTGTATACCTTTTCATAATCTCAAACAGACAGCTTTCAGTTTATATACATGAGGACTTATTTGTCGAAAATAAAAGGGAGTAAAGAGAGAAATCAGGATATAACACGATACATAACAGGAGCCAAAATGTCATGCAAGCAGTTTTATTGATGGTTATTTCTTCCCCTTAGACTGTATCTGTCCTAGAGACTTCTTTAGTGCCATGTATCTAAAGTTGCTCTCATGCCACCTGCCTGGGAGAAGTACAGGATGTGGGTCAGTGCTGGTACCAACCCCAAATAGAAAGAAAGTTCCTTTAACACAGGTACTATGGTCTGAATTACAATTTAACATTCAAGTACATGATCAAACCACACATACAGCAAAATAATCATCATATTACTATAATGTAATAGTTTTATCCCAGATAGGGGATATTTATACATTTTTAGTACATATTTGAATCTTCAGGCCTGTTTCTATTTGCTTGTGTTGATCAAATATGCATTGGTGGGAAGGCCACTTAAGCTAAGACCATGAGCAAGGCCAGCAGAACCACTAGAATCCTTTCACTGGTCTAACCAAAGTCACTATCCTAATATACGAGGTCATGATACTGCTACTAGTCACTACTAGATTAGTGTCCCGCATGAAGTCACTGATGACGTTGAATGAAGCATGCTCCTCTTGTCATTCATTTTTAGATTTATTCAAGGAACTGCAAGTGATCTAAAGGCTGGCTTGTGGATCTGGTGTTTAAGGCATAAGCTATAAATATAGGCTTAGTCCATTACTGTAGAAAACTTGCATCCAACTGGCAAGATGAGCATCCATATGCAGGGGCGTAGATAAGGGGGGGGATAGGGGGGTTCAAAAACCCCCCAAAGTGTCCTGGTGTACGGAGATCGGGTCTGTGTTTTTGATACTTGTGGACCGCCGACCGCGCCTCAGACAGAGGGACAGACCAGTGAACACACTAAAAGGGCGGCAGCAGGGCCAGGTAGGTACCGAGTGCAGTGGTGTAAGAAACGGGGGAGGGGGGGGGAGGCAGCAAACACATTTCAACTGAGTGAAGTCTGTGCCACACAGTGGTGCGCAGGGGAAGGGAAGTGATGACGGAACTTTTCCCTATGCTCAGAGCTCCATCAGAGAGGAGTCTTGCACTGCTAGCCTCTACATTGTTTGTGATATGAGAAGCGTGTCTGTGCTTGCATTTCAAAGACTGAAAGGCTTAAAGAGGAATTCCAGGTTCAGGGAGAGGAAAAAAAAATATCTACTGCCCTGCATATGTACTCCTCCTAGATCTTGGGATGAGGCTTTTGGCTTTTAGCACCTATATATACTGTAAGGTGCTTGATAAAGTAATATAGTTATTTAAGGCCTTGTTTACACCAAGCGCGGAGCAGGTGCAGAGCAGTTGCAGACCGGATCAAAACTGCGTCCAATGTATTCCAATGGTATTTTTTGCTCCAGTTCACATCGCAGCGTGCAGATCCAGAGCAGGTGAAAAAACTGCAGCAGGCCCTATTTTACCTGCTCTGGATCTGCAAACGCATCAAAAACGCATCAAAAACGCATGCAAATGCCTGGAACGTACTGAAAGCCCATGTTAAACTAAAAATGTTTTAGCCAAAAACGCATCAAAAACGCGTCAAAAACACATCTAAGAGACTAGCGTGCGTGTGCAGAAACCTAACCGGATCTGCTCTGCATTTGGTGTGAACAAGGCCTTAGTTTTCATGTTCATGTTACGGGTTATTTGTCAGGGTTAGATTGAATTAAGCATCACAGATTTATTTTAGGGGTTAGGTAAAGTGTTAGTGGGTGTAGTAGGGTTTAGTGTTAAACTCAAATTTAGGATGTGAGATATGTCAAAGGTCAGGAATATCTAGGAGAATGTTATATTCAGTATGTAAGAACTATCAGTGTAAATCTTATCACTGAACAACTTATGGATTATTATATAACGCTAAGACCACTGGTGGTGTTTTTTAGATACTGCTACTACTTTTATGCTTAACTGAACATTTAATATACACAGTTAGTAAATAGTGTGTTTCTGACTATATATGTATATGTGTGTACATATACAGGGCAACCATCAGAAATTTGGGGCCCCTTACACGACTTTAGCCCCCCCCCCCTTCACTGCCACACTGAGCCAGTCACATCAGTCTCTGACAGAGGAGCTTACACTCTCATCGCCCCCACAGTCACACACTGATATCATTATGGATGCACCAATACCGGGTTTTCTATATCGAGTACCGATATTTTTTTTCAGGTACTCACTGATACCTAATACCGATACCGGAAGTCCCATTAAGGAAGCCAGGCGGCATGTAATGACTCACCACCCGGCTTCCCGATTAGCAGGGAAGCCGTCCCCATGCTTCTCGTCACTAGCTTTCTGGCCAGTTAGGAAACTGAACGCCGTGTAATGGCGCCCGGCTTCCTGATGTCTGAAGCTAAAGTATCGCGCTTAGCATCGGAGCATTTGGGAGAATACTCACCCAAATACTCGGTATCGGTGCATCCCTAGTTATTACTATACATTTATACAGTGCTGACATATAGCGCAGTGCTGTGCAGAGCACACTGAGCCAGTCACATCAGTCTCTGTACAGAGGAGCTTACACTGTAATGTCCTCCCACAGTCACATCAGTCTCTGTACAGAGGAGCTTACACTCTAATGTCCCCCGACAGTCACACACTATTATTATACGTTTATATAGCCCTGACATATACCACAGTGCTGTACAGAGAACACTGAGACAGTCACATCAGTCTCTGTACAGAGATGCTTACACTCTAATGTCCCCCCACAGTCACATACTATTATTATTATACATTTATATAGCTCTGACATATACCACAGTGCTGTAAGGAGAACACTGAGCCAGTAACCTTAGTCTCTGTACAGAGGAGCTTACACTCTATTGCAGAATGGCACCAGCTGTAGGGGGACTACAAATCCCAGCATTACATTATACAGCAATGCAGAACAGTATATGAATTGGACTCAGGGCTTAGTGACCTGCTGGACTCTGGGCTTAGTGACCCGATGGACTCTGGGGCTTAGTGACCCGATGAACTCTGGGGCTTAGTGACCCGATGGACTCTGGGGCTTAGTGACCCGATGGACACTGGGGCTTAGTGACCCGATGGACTCGGGGGCTTAGTGACCCGATGGACTCGGGGGCTTAGTGACCCGATGGACTCGGGGGCTTAGTGACCCGATGGACTCGGGGGCTTAGTGACCCGATGGACTCGGGGGCTTAGTGACCCGATGGACTCGGGGGCTTAGTGACCCGATGGACTCGGGGGCTTAGTGACCCGATGGACTCGGGGGCTTAGTGACCCGATGGACTCGGGGGCTTAGTGACCCGATGGACTCGGGGGCTTAGTGACCCGATGGACTCGGGGGCTTAGTGACCCGATGGACTCGGGGGCTTAGTGACCCGATGGACTCGGGGCTTAGAGACCCGCTGGCCTCAGGGCTTAGTGACCCGCTGGACTCAGGGCTTAGTGACCCGCTGGACTCAGGGCTTAGTGACCCACTGGACTCAGGGCTTAGTGACACGCTGGATGCAGGTCTTAGTGACGCGCTGGACGCGGGGATTAGTGAAGCGCTGGACGCAGGGCTTTCAAACCTGTTGGAATCTGATACCCCACACATACCTGCGACCCCACACAGCCCACCTGAGAGTGACCCTGCAGAGCCCACCATAGATGCTGCACAGCCCATCTGAGACTATGATGGGCTCTGCAGGGGTCTCAGGTGGGGTGGTTAGGGCTGCATCTCCCTCCCAGCTCCTCTTACCTGCTCCTGCTGCCTGTACACCTGGCCTCCTCTGAAGCCGGACTGGCCGGAAGTGATGTGATGACACTTCCAGCCGGTCCGAGATCAGAACAGTGGCGGCGCTGATGGGGCCCCAGGCTCCTCCAAAGCCGCTGGATCGGCAATGCTGGGGCCCGGTGCTGTTAGGGCTAGGCCTCCTCTGGCATTGCGGGGGGCCCGGCCTCCTCCTCCTCACCTGTCACCGTGGCTGATAGTATTGCAGTGTGCAATGATACCTTTGTTATTGGACTAACAAAATATATAAAAGACAAGCTTTCGAGAAGCTCTAAATAGTGTGTGAAGCCAAGTGTTATATCTGCTAAGATTTATCTGTAATATTTTTATATACTTCTGGTGCATTCTACAAGAAACAACACTATAATGCCCCTTTCACAATGGTGTTGCCAATCAGGACCGCCTGTCAGTTAGTGTATGGTCAGCAAGATCTAAACAGAGGAGCATCCATTTACAATAAGTTACTCTGGCCAGGTCTGGAAAAGCAAACAGTTCAAGCATCCGTTTCTCTGGACCTGATTGTGCCGGATCGGGGGTAAACAAGCAACCGCCCATTTAGATCCAGCTGTCCATACACTAGCATTGGTCCAGTTGTCTTGCAATATAGGAAAAAACTGCATGAACATGGACGTCACAATTGTGACATCCGTTCTGATCAGGAGGGGATCCATGCACTGCTGTGACATCCGTTCCAATCAGGAGGGGATCCATGCATGGATCCCCTCCTTATCAGACCCGGTGAAAGGGGCCTTAATCAAATAAAAAAAAGAAAAAAAGAAAAGCTCATGGCTCTATAATGGCAGCAGTCAGTAAGTACCTAAGTCATCAGTCTTCCTTCCATGCCAGTGTTGCCTGTTGCCCTTATCTAGTCTCCCTCTTTTATTTACTTCTGCAGTGTACGAATCATGCACCAGGCTGTGCTGATTTCTGGGCACCCCTGGAGGAGAAAATATCTGTGAGACACGTCATAAAATACAAAAAACACAAATGTAGCCATAGCCATATTACTTTAATCCTTAAAGTAGTATAAAAGGCTGGGAGGTTTTTACATTAATGCATTCCCTGCATTAGGGTAAAAAACGCCCAGTAACAGGAGCGTATCTGCCACGAGGCAAACAAGGTGTTTGAATGTGGTTTCTTCTATGTTGATTGAAGTGTCACGGCTTGCTGACCCTGTCAGTTTGCTGGTGGGCAGCTGGACCTCCAATCAAGATGACTTCCAATCAACTCTGCCCTGCAGAGATCCCGACGTCGATGACAGCCCATCCATGAAAACCTCATGGTGAGTTACTACACTCTTTACACATGGTATTATCACCCGTGTTTCAACTGTTACCTCTCTCTCCCTTTCGCCTCTGACACCCAACTGAGAATTTTATCATTTACATCCTGCATTCTTCAAGCCCTCCTGGCCTCAACAACCCTCAAACCCTGTTCATTACTGGTAGTAGCACTTTAGACTTTGTTTTTTGCTCTGTCTTTCATAGTTGGACACCCCGGTCCACACTCAAACTAAAGCAGCACACCCTTCTTACACACCACAACCCCCAACAAAAACTTCCTAAGAGAAAACCCCCCAATAAAATAGCCCCCCTTGTTTTTTCATGAATCCTCCTCTCTAACACCCCCAAGAGAGCGCTGTCACATATAGGACCCAAGTGGCAAAACATCCCAATTCTATTCTTCTCATACATACTTTGTATCACTTTGTAGCACACTGATCCGACTTGCTCAGCTCAGTGTGATGAGCTGCAAGCTGGATCACTGGCTGTAACAGCAATATGATCACTGTGATTAGCTATTACAGTGATCACAGTGCTTGGACCCCCGGATTTGCTGTTGAGGGTCTGCTTCGCACACTGAGGGACCTAGCAACAGCATTAACCCCATGAGCACTGGTCCCTCCATGGACTTGGTACTTGGTACATGGTACTCTATTGACTATGGTACGGACCAGGCTGCGCCCCCAGAATTCCCATTTACTGGACCATTTTTTAAATTATTATATTATAATTTCTTATAATTATTTATAATTTATTATATTATAATTTTTTAATTTCGTGTTTCAAACTTTATCATACCTGGGATGTCTACTCGACTCTTGTTTGGACATATTTAGGTGAGTTATTTCTAAGATTTACTAAGAATTACAGGCCTACAATATAAAACAACAAATTTCCATGAAAAACAATGTACCGCTTTGGGATGCTAAAATCCTGAATAATCATACCGCCAGGGAGGTTAACTAACTGAAAGATCTTGACGGAATAATTTTATCATCGGTCAGGAACGGGTTAAAGGGGAACGCTAGAAATATTTTTTCGGGGGAGGAACAGTACAAATCATATTAGTTACCTCCAATGATTACTATGCTATGCTCGGATGTCTGCTGTTTACTGTACAAATCCTATCTTCGCTGACTCTGAATACTACAGACAACTCTCTTCGTCTGGCACTACAGCTGAGAAGTTCCAGTGCTCACATAGTAAAAGATTGTGACATGCAGCTGTCCTCACCTCTGTCCTTTTCCATTTACAAAATACCTTTTATTTTTTTTACAGAATGCAAGGTGTTCTGTGCTTGAACTGGGGAAGATCTTGTAATTTACCCGCACCCAGTGGCAACTCTAGGAACAATATGTAGGGGGGGCACATAAGATACAACAGTCAAATCTGGGGGGGCACTAATAATTTTCATTGCATGTCGCAACCGCTGGGCACCGATGAGCTGATTTAATTGCGGATGGCATCGGCAGCCCGCGGTTGCGACATGTAGTCCAACGCCGCCCACAATCCTGCATACTGCAACGGTCGGGCGCCGATGCCATCCACAATGTAATCAGCTCTCGGCGTCTGGCAGTTGTGGAATACAGCAGGGGCTGACTGGCAACTTTTAGCCCAGGGGGCAAGTAACTGCGCTGTGAGCTGTGGGAGGATAGTGGGAGGAGCCACACATTGTCAAAGTCAGTGTTCTATAATTTTTCTCGACCCTATACATTTTCTCAACTGTGTCACTTCCAGTGGGGCTGAGTCATCTGAATCAGCTGTTTTCATGACCCCCTTTCTTCATGACATGCACACCTGGAAGAGACGCGGTAGAGAAATGTATGGGTTGAGGAAAGTTAGAACACACCGGTAGTGTAGGGATGCCTCGTCAGTGCTCTGCGTGTGCATGACTGCTGCGACCCTGGTAGTTCTGCCACTAACTCCAAGCTGTAGAGGGACTACAAATCTCAGCACATTATACAGCAGTGCAGATTAATACCACCAGCTACAGAGGGCTATAAATCTCAGAAATACATTGTACAGCAATGAAGAATACAGACAGCTATAGAGAACTACAATTCCCAACAATACATTACACAACAATGAAGAATACCAACAGCTATAGAGGACTGCAATTCCCAGCAATACATTATACAGCAATGCAGAATGGCATCAGCTATAGAGGGCTACAAATCCCAGCAATACATGATACAGCAAGGAGGGTTGTATGGGCTCTCAGGAGGTCAGTGTGAGCTCTCAGGTGAGTTGTGCAGGCTCTCACCAGCGGTCCAGAGAGTTTCACAGGTGCGTGCAGGTGCAACAGAGGCGGCTCCCTAATTAGGCTCTCAGGTGGCCAATGCGGACTGTCATGTGGCCAGTGGGGCTCTCTGCTGGTCAGTGCGGGCTATCTGGTGGTCAATGGTGGCTCCCTGATAATTAGTGGTGGCTCCCAGGTGGTTAGTGGGGGCTCCCTGAACCCTGGTAGTTAGTGGGGGCTCAGTGTTGGACCCTGGTGGTTAGTGGGGGCTTCCTGGACGCCGGTGGTTAGTGGAGGCTCTGTGGTGCCCAGTGTAGACTCCCTGGTGGTTAGTGGAGGCTCTGTGGTGGCCAGTGGAGGCTGCCTGGTGGTTAGTGGGGGCTCTGCGGTGGCCAGTGCAAGCTCCCTGGTGGTTAGTGGGGGCTCTGTGGTAGCCAGTGGGGGCTCCCTGGTGGTTAGTGGGGGCTTCCTGGACCCTGGTGGTTAGTGGGGGCTCTGTGGTGGCCAGTGCGGGCTCCCTGGACCCTAGTGTGGGCTCTGCGGTGGTCAGTGGGGGCTCCCTGGTTGTTAGTGGGGGCTCCCTGGACCCTAGTGTGGGCTCTGTGGTGGCCAGTGGGGGCTCCCTGGTTGTTAATGGGGCTCTGCTATGCCCGCAGCTGACAGTTTGCCCCCGCCAAATTAAGCAGCTAGTGCCTGATCCAGCCAGCCCGAATCGCCTCAGTATGCAATCGGGGCTGGACCAGGCAGACGCGGCCCTCTAATCAGGCATGTTAACAAAGCAAAACTAAGACAAGCTGGCTTTTGGTGATAGACCATTACCTGGAAAGACATTACTGCGGAGGTAGTGACTTAGCTCAGAGTATGTCCTGTGTAGATAATCTTCCATAAGCCAGGGATTTAGGGTGGCATGTTTTAGGGTGACTCTGGGCATGTCCCTTGTTCTCTCCTCCACATCTCTCAGGAAATTTCGCATCTACATGGGACATGTTAAAAATCTTCACTTTATAAACTGAAATGTTGAGAACAACAACAATTCCTAATATTTGCTCTTACCTCTTCTGGAGAAATGAGTTGCTCAACCAAAGAGCTGCCATACTTGTGTCTTATATTAGCTGGGATAAGGTTCCTGATGCCTAGCTGGCAAATGTCCGCATCTTGATGAGATATTTTATTTCTGCTACTCATGACTTGTCCACTGCTATGCTCACTCTTTGTAGCAGCTACCTGGCATTTCTCTTTAATATCAGGTGGGGCTGACCAACAAGCCGGCAGTCCTATAGGGTGAATATTTGTACTGCATTAGAATTGCAACCATAGACCTTCTCAATGTATTTGGAAAAAAAATGAAATCAAGATTATACAATATAATATGATTTGATGAAAACATGTAAGTATTGGGAATTGCTTAAAGTGACACTAAACTCAGGCGTTAAATATTAAAAATTCATTCAAGTAACTCAACTATTACCGTATATACTCGAGTATAAGCCGACCCGAATATAAGCCGAGGTACCTAATTTTACCACAAAGATTGTGGTTCCTCCACCTATTGGGTGAAGGAGCACAGTTCAAACAACAGTGGCATTGTTAATGAGAGTGTCAAGGGCAGGTCTGAAGAGATGACTTCTCTTAAAGGGCAAGTCAATTTGATGTTTTTTGGGTGCATCCTCGGTGTCCCAGGCTTGTGGCCAAAGTGCCTAATGTAAATGACCGACATCACCCCATGCAAAACACAACCTTAGATGCTTGTAAGAGGTCATCTCAGCTGAAGCACAGGGCTCCAGACATTTCTTCAAAATTCTGCAGGACACATGTTTTGCCCTTGTGATGGAGGAGTGCACTTGAAGGGATTTTAGCCATACACAACATCGTTTCACAAATAAACAAAAGAAGTCACTGCCAACAGCAGTTTATTTAAACTGAGATGCAAGTAGGTAGTCTAACTATCTGCAATAAAATTCCAAAAGGTGAAAGCATGTCCAACTTGTTTGGTTGCATACTTGTCAAGGTGTGTCACTGGATTGGTTACAGTGGGCTACAGTGGGCAGAGACCAGTAAGCATTAAAATCCCCTGTAAAGGCTCTATCACTTTATCAGGGGGACCCTATAGGAATGTTTTAAATACTGTGTATAGTGGGAAGGTCTTTGCAGCCATTTGAATATTCACTTGAGGAGTAGAGTGTGAGGATTCTGAAGGGGATGAAGTGGGTTTAGAGCCTCTGAGAGCAGTTTGCTCTGTTTATTGTGCACAAATAAAAAGTCTGCATTGGATATAAGGGCCCTTGTGGACACAGAGGAGGTCTTGGCCTCATACGACATAGCTGTATAAGACTCCGATGAGGATGGCCCTATAATAATAAGAGTTCCAAGGTATGGGTTACAAGTGTTGGTTTCTTTGGGGAATACGAAGAAATCACTGAAGCAGTAGGGCAGATTGGCTGAGCTCACCCATTTGGGGCAGGACTGTCCTCTGTGCGTCTTAGAAAATATTATTATTATTATACAGGATTTATATAACGCCAACAGTTGGCGCAGCGCAAATATATTTTGCACCGCTTAGTGGTAAACAATTAGGAAAGGCCTTGCGTACTCACAAACCCAAGCAGCTGGAGCTGATGAGGTTTGCGGGTAGCCAGAGGTGACGATAGGCTGGCAGTGAAACATGGCCAGGGACAGGATGATTTAAAATGCCTTTGCAGTGTGATGGTGCTTCCAACAGGCTAAAAGGCAGGAAAAAGAACATGGATCACACATGCACAACAGTCCGTCTAACTTATGACATAATTACTCAAGTCCCGTAGCCTTAATCCTTGCCACGGCGAAACTAGCATTTGGTGGGGAATGCAACGGTTAAGAACAATTTTGCCCAGAGTTCTGCTTTAAGCATATCGAAAATAAAAACAAATATATCATATATTGCAGTTTACCAGTACTTAAAAGATATGCATTCTTTTCATTTGTGTCAGAGCACAATGAAAACCAAACAAGCAAAAGGTGCTAGTTAAAATATTTATTAAGAACAGTGTCCACAGGAGCAAGCAGAATCTTAAACAGGAACAAGCCAAGGTCAGGAGCCAGAGTGGGATACTCAGAGCAGCAGGCATGCACTAGCAAGAAGACCACACAAGGGCAAGGTCAGACTGGACTGAGTGGTATATATATATGGTGAGTGGGGTGGCATCATCACTCAGAGACAGGAAACGCCCATCTGACTCACTCAGATGATGCTCTCCTGTCTGGCCATAACAGGGAGCGTGGGAGTAGTGAGCAACGTTCCAGAGTCTGCTCAGGCAAAGAAGGAAACAGGTGAGTAAAATGGCAGCCAAGCCAGAATGCTGCAAACCAGTAAAGTCAGGGTGGAACCCTGACAATTTGTTATGATTATTATTCTTTATTTTCACCTGTGGATCCTGCCAGTAAACCACTTCCTCCCCCTCTTCTCCATAACTTAGGGGGAGTTGTAGTACTGTAATCCTTATAACTAATAAGAGTCAGCACAGACAGAGACCACAGAAAGTTATCAGTTTACAAGATTTCTGTCAGAATCAACAATTATGTTTTTTTTCACTTATTGAACAGACATAGCAAAACACTTTCAATTGTATATTTATCAGACCAAAAGGGAGCAAATAAGAGAAGTACTTTGTTAGGGTTCACATGCACTTTAAAAAACATTCAGTTAATCAGAGCATTAGGTAACTGCAGTGCTGCATATTTTGCCCTTAGCCCATTCCTTAATGTGAATACAAGCATTTATGTATGCATCTAAACATTAGTAACACGGAGCAGTAATGTGAAGAGATACCAGAAGATTCAGCTATCAATTGCCACTCTATATGAGACATCCACCCATCATTAGAAAGTACACGCACATCTTAGAATATGCTATTCAGAAAAAGAAATCACAAGCACCATTCACTAAAACAGCTGTGTACTGGCCTTTGTAACTGGAGGATTTAGAAGAAAAAGGTATTCATTTTCTCAATTGCATTAGGAAATTGCAGGTTTGAAGTACAATTTTCTCATTTATGGATTCTTTTAATTTTTATGGATATTACGCCTCAGAAATCTTTACATGTACATTACAATTGCTGCTGTTACTGCCATTGATTTCTGCTCAGAATATTGTACTGGTGCAGCCAGAAGATTTATCTTGTCTGCTGAATGTATGCTGTCCATACACAGGCATTTTTCAGCCAGTACATTGCAAAGGTAATAATACTTGCCAAAGAGAGCAGAGGAGCCATGCAAATCATTCCTGGGCAAACTGTGTGTCCAGAACTGCTAGTCTACAGCATAAAACAACACAATAATTTGAAGCCATTGAATACAGGCTACATACAGCTGCTTAAAGAAGAACTCTGGGAATTTAAAAAACAAACCCTTGCATTGGGGCTACCCCCACACTGCAAGAGGTAAGTACTTGTTTTGTCTATGGGCTCAAATAAAGCAAATATACTTACCCTCTGTCCTGCTGGGCTGGTGGGCTGGTAGGCCGGTCCCCACGGCCTATTCTTCCCCAGGCTTCACTGGTCTAAGGACCAAAGACGTCATCACATCTTATTCAGGTCTACTGACTTGCATTAGACATGAGGATACTGAGGGACATTTCACAACAAGAGTGGAGGGGGAGAGAGGTGAGTGATGACCGCTGTGAGACTGAGGATCAGGTGGGTATAGCTTTAAACAAGACGACACTTAACTCTTGCAGTGCCAGAGTAGCACCACTACAAGGGTAAGTTTTTTTAAATTCCCAGAGGCTTGTTGGACATCATTAGTGTGGTGCTTGGAAACAATCCCTGGAATTCATTATGAGTATATCAGGTAAACACAGTGATCACCTGATGATTGCTTACCTCTGAGGCTAGGAAAACTTACCAGAGGATTGAATTGTCTGCCATCTTGGAAGACCCTGTTTCTGATTAGACACAGAGTTCTCCCAAGATTTAAAGTGACACTAAACTGAGGAGTTTAAACCTTAAAAATGCATTCAAGTATGTTAATTATTAACAAAATGTAGCTTATTTAGGTATAACTCGGCTGTAGATCCTCAAATCATCACTGAATTAGTGCTGACACTGTCCTTCCTTCTGGAGGGGGGCTACTTTTGTTCCCCATGGTCCCTGTGTGTGTTGTAAAGTAGCCACCACTCCAAGCTCGCTCCCATGCTAGACTACAATCTCAATACAAATAAGTAAACTAAACATGAGATGGGGCTTTTTTGAATTTGGCCCAGAACCTTTTAAAGGTCTATGCCACAAGAAACGTGGTGCTAAGCCTTTATTAAATTCCCCCCATAGTGTTGGAAGAATACGTTTCTGATCCAGTTTTCTCTTTCCAAATCCTTACGTTTTTTCTTTACTCCTTTTTAAAATCTCTCTAGCCTCCTATTGTAACCATTTACATAATCTGTCTTTCTATTCCTCAGTCATTGCTTAGTCCTTTTCTAGATGTTATTTAATTATCTTCTATTTCCCCAATTTCTAACTTATATGGCTCCCATCAAAAAAATAAAGTGGTCAAAAGTGTGTCAGCACCCTACATATTTGGACACAATCAAGGGTTCTCTTGCATTGTGCTCCTTGTACAAGTGTTTGTTTTAAAAACAATTTGAGGAATAGACAGAGAAAAACTGGATCAGAAATGTATCCTTCACAGTCAGTAGAAAACACTATGGGGGGGGATTCAATTAAGGCTTAGCACCATGTTTCTAGTGGTATGGACCTTTAATAGTTCTGCGCCAAATTCATAAAAAGCCTTGTCACCATTCTTGGTAGCTTTACTCACACCTGCAACAGATTCAGGTAGTTCTTAATACTGCCACTTTAAGCACATGTCACTATGGCTGCAACAGATTAAAAAAGAATGACCGATAGTTTACAGATTGGAAAACTGGCGGTAATTAAAACAAACTCTGATCTGGTGTACATATGAGACACCAGTGCTTAGAAGTGGTGCATGTAAGTGCTGGAAGCTGGCATGAATCTGACAGCTTCCCCTTCATGGGTTGCTAGGACTACGAGCCGCCAAAGTCCTAGCAACCAGTTATGCATCCCCAGCCCCATTTTGCTGCCGGACAGGATATTCCCCAGACAGCAGCTAATTGTAAACAAAGGGGTTGTGGATGCTGGCTGATATCATTATCCAAAAATGGCCATATTTGGCCATTACATTGAGTGGGCCAT